TCCTAGTACTGTGCAAAAGAGACCGCATCCTTCCCTATCTTAGCTTTTCTTCTTCCATTGATGGTTCTAAACAGAACTCGAAGACAGTGATAAGAAGTTGTTTTCAAAGTGCTTTAAATTAATGTGTCTGTGTGTGAACCTGCATGAATGTATGTATGCTACGTGTGTACAAGAGTCCATAGCAGCCAGAGAAGCCTATAGATCCCCTGGAGTTACAGGTGTTGTGAGCCACTGTGGCGGGTGCTAAGAACTGAATCCTGGCCCTCTGCAAGACCAGAAAACACTATTGCTGAGCCCTCTCCCTCCCTCCCTCCCCCTCCCCCCTCAAAACCGAGCTCTAAAGAACATTTATGTATTCACAGAAACTTTTGTCTAAATTAAGAAATTTTTTGTTTGGTTTTTGAAAGAAGATCTATAGTCCTTGGCTGTCCTGGAACTCACTATTTAGACCAGGCTGGCCTTGAACTCACAAAGATCCACCTGCCTCTGCCGCCTGAGGCTCCACCATGTCCAGCTTAAATTAAGAAGTTTTAAAATAAAATAACAACAATCCCTCCCTCACCAACCTAAAAACAATCATATCCCAGTTAGAGCATCTTTGTTTGGTAGCAGCCACCCTAACTAACCACACAATTTCCAAACTGTCCCCAAGCCCCTTTCTTGGGTAGGCAATCTAACAAAAGTTCTTTTAGTTATAAAGGAAGCAACCGTAGGTTTTTAGAGCCCTAAAAGGAGAAAATGATAGCTTTGATGAACAAAGATTAGGAAACTGGAAATACTGTTTTATAAAACATTTTTAAATGAATATGAAATAATTAGGTTTTTAGCTTCATAATTCGAACCTCCTTCCGAGCTGTAAACAGTGGCATTGTTACTATAAACAGGTCTTATTTAGGAAGAATGTGGGTTAGATTCAAGAAGATGAAAGAGATCACTGGTACCAAGAAGGTTTTTAAAAACACGATAACACAAGAGGGATGGGCTCTCCAAAGTAATGTCGTCAGAACACTATTCTATGCTAAGGGAAAGGAGAATGACTGGGCCGGGCTCTAATACAGCGAAGTTACTCTGGTTGGTACCGAAGTAGTTCGTGGATGTTTAATTGCAGAGGTGACAACCCATTCCCCAAGCCTCAGTATGTGGGACATCTCCCTCCTACCTGTGGCACAGACGCGCCCTAGATTAAACAAAGCCCCAGACCTTCAGGAAGAAAACCAGTATTCCATTGCATTCTTCATTCCAGCCCGGCTCCGTCCTTTTTTGGAAGGTTGGCTCCCACCCCACAGGCTCTTCAAGCTCCCACAGGTCTGACATTCCCTCCAGACACAGCCCGGCACACCCCTCTTGATAACCACTGTCCTGTGTTCTCCCGGGCTACTACTTCTGAATCGAAACATCAAACCCAATTTTGGGGTCCCACTCGCAGACACCTTCTGGTCAGTACAGCCAGGACAGAGGCTCGCTCCCCAGCCCAGTCACCTGCTTGCCGCCTCAGTCCCTACCTGGTGGACCGCACTCCCAGGTCCTCCTCCCACCCGCGCCGCGGGCCAACCTGAGCTCGGCGTCTCGCAGACGACTGTCACGCCCCGACGCGGCGCGGGGTTCCAGCAGCTAGGATCTTTGCTGTTCTGGGCTCCCAAATACCACTTTCCCCTCCGCCACCTCCACCCAACTCAGCCCCACTGGACGCGGCCATCCCTAACGGCCGCACTGGGCACAATTCCCGCTGTTCATTGGTTGTTACCTAGGCAACCGCGAGCAACGCCACTCCCCATTGGTCCAGCCCTCTTTTGTGCCATCTTTGTGAGCGGCCCAGTGTTTTGGGAATCTGGGCCAAAGATCTGAAAGAGGGGTGGGGCTGAGCCTGCGGTCCAATCTCATTAACCCCATCAGAAAAGAAGGACCCACGTTTCACCTCTCCAGAGACCTCCAGGCAGAAACGTTAATCCTAAAAAAGCCGAACGAGTGGCTACCATCTCGAAAGGTTGTGATTTTTAGATTCATAAACAACTCCACCACTAAGTATGAAGAGAAAACCTAAACCCAGTCTCAGAAGCTCAGCTTCATAATAAATGATGTGCTGCGCATTTGCATTCATAGGGACTCACTGTGTTCCACATCTTTTGTATTTAAAATATATTGCCATTATTGGAGCAAATCTTCCCAAATACTGTCCCCGTATGTCCGTGTAGCCATATATTTGTTTTTATTGAAGTGCATGCGGGCAGCAAGTTCTTCAGGGCTTGGAAAGCTACAGTCGTGGTTGCTTCTCTCCTGGGACTCATGCGCGAGGCATGGAAAGACAAAGCAAATTGGTTCAGATTGCATTTTGGACTGGGGTTTCTTCAGCCGCAGGTTAGGCAATGATGAAAATAATAGTGGCTTTTCAGGACTTGTATGAGAACACAACGCCAAAGGAATGGAAGTTTGAGGTTATTTTTAAAAAGATTTGATTTCTGTGTTCAAATCCTATTTTTGCTACTTACAAATTGTGTATGTTTTTGAGTAACTTAGGAAGCTCTCTAGCCAGTAAAATTAGATCGGACCAATAAATTCAATATGGTACTAATGCTCACTCGTTAATAAGTGCAGTCATTGAAAAATGGAATGTGGGGCTAGAGAGATGGTTCAGTGGTTAAGAGCACTGACTGCTCTTCCAGAGGTCCTGAGTTCAATTCCCAGCAACCACATGGTGGCTCACAACCATCTGTAACGGAATCTGATGCCCTCTTGTGGTGTGTCTGAAGACAGCTACAGTGTACTCATATACATAAAAAATAAATCTTTAAAAAAAAAGAAAAGAAAACGAATGTAAAGAAAGAGATTTTATTAGAATTTGTGTTAGGAAGTATGAAGAAATGAGATTAAACCACAGATTGTGTGAGACCAAATTATAGAAAGACCTATAAATTAGCAAACAGTTTGCAAAATGTAGTTTCTTTGGTCAGCAAGATGACTTGTTAGGTAAGAACAAATTACTTTGTCTCCTTGGGACACGGCATCCAACATCATAGGAGTTACAATAGCAGTTAACGGAACTAATCCATGCAAGATACGTAAAACAATGCCCAGCGCATACTTAGCACTGGGTATGTGATCTCCATATGTATTAGGACACATGTTTACATAAAAGGAAAATCTAGTTCCAAGCAGTAGACACAGAAATAAAGGTTGAGGGGAAAACTCAGAATTCCAGGGAGAACTCAGAATCCTGGATCTTTCCTTGCCCGTAATTTTAAATCCGTTAGCTAAACCAGATGAATGATATCAAATACCATTTCGATGATTCTGAGGACCCACAAACCAGACATCACTACATTAGTTATAAGACATCACTACATAGCTACATTACCTATGACTGAAAGGCTGGAAGAACTCTATTATAGATTGTTGGACAGGATGGTTATTTATTTTCTGTTGTGTTGGAGGTGAAGACATGGTCTTCTATATGGTAAGCAAACACTCTACCAATAAGATAGCCTCTCAGCCCTGGAACTGTTCATTGGGAAAAAAAAGAAGTTGAAGACATTCTCACATATACAACTAAACAATAGCTCTTTCGAGTCAATACTTCTATCAAGCAATAATTTGACTCAAGAAAGTAGGCTATTGGGGGCTGGTAAGATGGGTCACAAGTTTGGCACTTGTCACCAAGCCTTACAACCTAAGTTTGACTGCTGGAACTCACAGAATAGAAAGTGAGAATCAGCCGGGCAGTGGTGGCACACGCCTTTAACCCCAGCACTTGGGAGGCAGAGGCAGGCAGATTTCTGAGTTCGAAGTCATCCTGGTCTACAGAGTGAGTTCCAGGACAGCCAGGGCTACACAGAGAAACCCTGTCTCGAAAAAACAAACAAACAACAACAAAAAACAAAAGAAAGAAAGAAAGAAAGAAAGAAAGAAAGCCAGAAAGGAAGGAAGGAAGAAAGAAAGAAAGAAAGAAAGAAAGAAAGAAAGAAAGAAAGAAAGAAGCACTTATTCTCCTCGACCTCCACTTGTGGACACACATGTGACACACATGGACAAGCATACATTCAAAAAGTAAATAAATGTAAAACATTAAGGTGATTATGTGATTGGTCATCTTCTGTGAAAACTCTTTCTTCTAACTGTTGGTGGTTCGGAGAAGAAAAAATATCATTAACAATAATCTCAGAAGTTATGAAAGGGGAATGTCTGTGGAAGGCTTTTGTGTCCTGAGTATAGGTAAGGGTGATTACTGTCATTTTATAGACGAGGAACTTTAGAAATTTTAGAAACCAACGTTTGAAAAGATTTATAGAACAGGGCTTAACCTCACATGTCTCTGCTCTCCAAGTCCGTGTTTTTATGTATTACATTTTACACTTTAATTTTATTATTTAATTTTATTTATTGTCTCCTCTCTGTCTGTGTGTGTGAAAGTACCTGAAGAGGCTAAAAGGAGTGTGTCAGATTCCCTAGAGCAAGAGTTACAGGTTTTTGTGATCCACCTGACATGAGTGCTGGACGCTGATTCCGGTCCCTCTGTAAGAGAAGCAGGTGCTCTTAACTGTCCATTCATACCTGCAGCCTCTATTCTCCACTCGTGTCTAGGTTTGAAGTGGATGTGCTTACACCCCTGCAATCTTTCCTCAGAAGCTCCCGGATGTCACATGCCCTCTCCTCTGCTGGCTCACTAGGCCGTTGGTGTTTAGCTCTACTTCTCCTTAGTCAAGCAGGCTGTCCTAAATAGGCTTTCGCCCTCTTCCTCTTTTTCTTTGGTAATGCCTATGCTTTGTGCATGCTATGCCTTTTCTTTCCTTCTTCTCCTCTTGTGATTCAGCTACTTCCTTTAGCAGCGGTCTCTTAGTACAGACTCTGTATACAGCTTTTTCTCATTCTCCACCCGTCCTCAAGTCTGTGAACTATCGTGAACTTTCAGCTAATATTGTTAGCTTTATACCTCCAACTGTCTCCGGTGGTGTTTATACAGAGTGAGGACAAAGCTATATTTTTCTTCTTCCTGTTATTAATGAAAACGAGGACCAACTGTGTCTAGACACTCAGGCGAATAAAGTCACGGACTAATTTATTCTCAAGGGGCCAAAGCTTTCCTCAATGATCAGATAACGTATAAAGTATTGAGTCATTTGCTCCTAAGCTATGTAAACTGCATAAAGACTGACATTTTATTTATTTATTTATTTATTTATTTATATTTTTGGTTTTTCGAGACATGGTTTCTCTGTGTAGCCTTGGCCGTCCTGGAACTCGCTCTGTAGAGCACTCTGGCTTCAAACTCAAAGAGATCCACCAGCTTCTGACTCTCAAGTGCAAGATTTAAAGGCATCCGCCCAGCTGAGTACTGGGATTTTTTAACTTACTGAGATAGCACAAGTGACAAGCATATCTCATTGTTGTCGTTTCTTTGTCCATAGCTGATGCTTAGTGACACAAAAATGACACTTTGCAGTTTCACAGGCAGCTCAGGGTAGCCAGTCAATTAACAAGTTAGTAAGGAAGCATCTATTAGTAAAGCTTCCGAAGACCTGTCTGCCAATTGGAAGCTCCGGCGGGCTAAGGGCAGAGGGCGTACCTGACCCGGGTTTGTCTCGTAGAGCATGCGCAGTCTTCACAGAAGGTGACGCGAAAGCTGAGGAGGCCGCGATTGCGTAGGCGCATGTTCTGATTGGCCACTATGGGAGCGCGAGGGGCCGTGCCTACGCGTCGTCAAGTAAACAGGACAGGGTAGGGGCGGAGCTACGGAGGCACCGCGCCCTGGTTGGCCAAGCGGGAGGTGGGGGAGTGCCGCGGATTGGTCACCGCTGCGAGCTCGCTGGTGTGGAGAGCGCCGGGTCCCCGAGCCGGCGGCCTGAGGGATGGACGAGACGAGCCCGCTAGTGTCCCCCGAGCGGGCCCAACCCCCGGAGTACACCTTCCCGTCGGGCTCCGGAGCTCACTTTCCGCAAGTACCGGGGGGCGCGGTCCGTGTGGCGGCGGCCGGCTCCGGCCCGTCCCCGCCGAGCTCGCCGGGCCACGACCGGGAGCGGCAGCCCCTGCTGGACCGGGCCCGGGGCGCGGCGGCGCAGGGCCAGACCCACACAGTGGCGGTGCAGGCCCAGGCCCTGGCCGCCCAGGCGGCCGTGGCGGCGCACGCTGTTCAGACCCACCGCGAGCGGAACGACTTTCCGGAGGACCCCGAGTTCGAGGTGGTGGTGCGGCAGGCCGAGGTTGCCATCGAGTGCAGCATCTATCCCGAGCGCATCTACCAGGGCTCCAGTGGAAGCTACTTCGTCAAGGACTCTCAGGGGGTGAGCGCGGGGGTGCGGGCGCAGCGGGGGCGGCGACCCGGGACCAGGGAAAGGGGGAATCGGAAGGGTGCAGAAAAGAAACTTTAGCGCCAGCCCCCGGCGAGATTGAGGATGCTTCTGGGGACTGGGGATGGAGAAACCTCGCGGGATGAAGAAATCAATCAGAACCTTTTTGCTGGGGGAGGCGTGAGCGGAAAGTTAAAAGAGGAAATTGACCAGATACGGGGCAGAAAAGTCCTGACCCATGCTACTTTCCAGTCGGTCCCTTAGCTTCAAACTACGGGGACAAGTATACAATCATTGCCTCCAGATTCAGGACTTTAGGCCTATTCTCTTTCACCTTTTATTTATTTATTTTAGTTTGGCCCAAAGCCGTGTGTCGACCGATCACGGGCTCTGAGGATTTAGTTCCAGCTTGTGCAGGGAACCCAGGTTTCTTATTAGCAGTCATTGGTGACAGCGTGGGTGGACTCGTCAGTGTCATCTGTCCTGATTATTGCTCACTTCTGGGAAAAAGGTTCACATCGTTGCTTATGGTTCCTCAGTTCAGAATGTGGAGCTTTAAAAACACGAAACTGTCTCCTGCCCTTTAATTTTTCCCTCAGTTCTGTATCAGCAGTTTACTTAGCTAAGGCAGTTTTGCTAACCTTAATTTTGCCCCCTGCTTTTGTACTGGGGGTATGGAAGCAGGACAATGTGGGCCATGAGGTGACCAGGGCAGCTAAGAAATGACCTTTATCCTTTTGAGACCTTCATAAGAATTGAAAACTTTGGACACAGGTCAGACTAGAGCTATTAGAGGATTAGTAGGTCAAGATATGTCAGCTCTTTCTTGTTGTTTTCAGATATACCAAAATGGTTCATTTTTAAATGTACTATTGTTACATGTATTAAAATTATGGATGTTAAAGTTGTATGAAAATTCCCTTGCATATATATCCCCCACCACCACCCCATCTCTCGGTATAGCCTTGGTTGTCTCTGGAACTCACTCTGTAGACCAGGCTGGCCTTGATCAGCCTGCCTGTGCTTTTCCATTGCTGAGATAGATAAAAGACATATGCCACCACTGGACAGCTGGTCCCTTGCATTTTTGTGTGTGTTTGAATTACAAAAAAAAAAACCTTAAAAATTAGCCAGGTGTGGTCCAAGCCTTTAATGCCAGCACTCAGAGGCAGAAGGCTCTTTGTGAATTGGAGGCCAGCGTAGTTTACAGAATGAGATCTTAGGACCTAGATCTACCAAGAAGTACTCTGTCTTATTTCACTATGTAGCCCAGGCTGGCCTGCAACTCACATTCCTCCTGCCTGAACCTCCAAAGTGATATGTGAACTCTTTGTTTATCTTGGTTTTTTAATTTTTAAAAATTTTATGTGTCTTGATTTATGTGTCTGTACATAGAGGATGGTTGGATCCCCTGGAATTGGAGTTACAGATGGTTGTGAGCTGTCATATGGGTGCTGAGAATTAAACCCTGTATCTTCTAAAAGAGCAGCAGCTTCTGAGCCACCTCTCCAGCCCCATGTGTGCTCTTTAGATGGGTTGCATGCTGTTGTGTTTAAGTGGCCAGGATGGGTTGTGTCTTACAGCTCTCGATAGAGTTCATCACCCAGAGTTGCCCATGAGATTACTAAAACCAGAGAGCAGTTCTGTCAACTGTGTTTGTATAAACTGGATTGGAGAAAACTTTGAGAGTATACACAAGGCCCCTGATTCAGCTCTAGCACAACAAACCAAGACGGCAAGACTTTTCTTTTTTATTCCAGAACAGAATGGGATTTAAGTAGGAATTGTTTTTGGGGGGTTGAATGGGTAATGGGTAGCATGTTGGCTGGATCTTTTGATAGCCACAGGAAGAAGATTTTTGTTTTTTTCTCATTTAGAAGTATGTCAGGTCATCTGGGAAATGATCTGGTGCTCTGATAAATTCAAGTAATGGGATCTGTCGCTTCTGTTACCTCTCGTCCATCATGGAGGACAGACCGTAGTAGGTCGTGGATTCTGAGACTTGTTTTGTTTTTAGTTGTGTATAAGATCTCAGGCTCTAATTTTCAGGCCACGGTTCTCTGTTAGAGGTGAAATGTACACACACGTTTCCAAAAAAAAAAAAAAATTACTAATATTATTTCCTTGCCCTGATCCCACTGAAAGTGTGGCTTCAGACCGAGGACCACTTCCTGAATGCTTGTGGAGGGTTGGTTAGACTGGCCCACAGAAACAGTTTGGTATTTGTCACCTCAGAATCTGCACCAAATATATTTATATTTAATTAATGCTTAGATAGTGCTTACTTTATGGCAGAACTGTTTAAGTGCTTTATGAGTATTACCACTTGTTCCTTATAACCACCTTGGAGGTTGCTACTGTTTTATCTCCACAGGTGACGCTGAGTGCAGTGTAACTGATTTGCACAAGGCCCTGCCCCTCACCTCAGTATTCCCCTGCAGTCAGCCTTATGAACTCAGTTTCTCTTTTCAGCTCTGGTTTTGGTTAGCATTGGACTTGCCTGTGTGTGGTGTGTGACAGATATCTATATCTAGATCTAGATCTAGATCTAGATCTAGATATAGATATAGATATATAGAGATATATATAGATATAGATATTTTGTTTTGTTTTGTTTTGTTTTGGTTTTTTGAGACAGGGTTTCTCTGTGTAGCCCTGGCTGTCCTGGAACTCACTCTGTAGACCATTGTCTTGAACATAGTTGTAGTGGTTAGTGTTTGGGAGCTTTAGCTTTTATCTTCTCTACAAGATAGTTTAGGCATCTTATGTCAGGCAAGGAGGAACCAGTAGTGTGTGTGATGACTACTTTTGGAACAGGCTGAAAGGTTCTTTTTTAATTTTTTAAGGTTAATTTTTTTGTTTTTTGAAACAAGGTCTGACTATGCAGCCCTGGCTTGTTTGGAGCTCACTATAAGGCTGGCTTTGAACTCACAGAGGCTTACCTGCCTAGGATTATGGCTAGGATTAAAGGTGTGCAGCTCCATCCCCAGCCGAGTTTAATTTTAATTTAGTTATGAGTGTGTCTGCGGGTTTTTATGCCACTTGTGGGTGCCCTTGGAGGTCAGGAGTGACTGTTGGATCCCCTGGAGCCGGGACTCCAGGCGATTGTGGGCCACCAGAGAGATGCCAGTGCTGGCAACTGTGCTCAGGCCTCCAGAAGAGCAGCACGTGCTCTAGCTCATTCTGAGAGACTCTTGACTAGGACAGCCTTGACTCTGCTTCCCAGTTTATGGTAGTTTCTGCCACAAGATGATTAAGTCAGGACCTGGAACAGTAAAATGGAAAATGCTAGATTAGCGGTTGTCATGGTGATGTGTCTCACATTACCCCTCCTCACTTACATGCTTGCTGCTTCAGATCTCACGGTCACTACAGACATAGTTTCTTAGCATTTACTCTTTGATGCTGTGCATATTCCCAGGAATTGCAGAACATGTGATATGACTAGCTTTAAGAAGATTAATGGGCCAGGCATAGTGGTGCAGGCCTATAACCCCAGCCCTCAGGAGGCAGAGCCAGGTAGAGCTCTGTGAATTTGAGGTCACCCTGATTTACAGTGTGTGGTCCAGGTCAGCCAAGGCTACATAATAAAGTAAGGGTGTGTGTGTGTTCGAGCGCTTAAATATCACACATGAAAGCCCCTGGTGGGTAGTTCCCGGTACTTAGCAGATACCTACTCAAGAGTTTTTCATTTTGCCCTTTTGTTTTTGTTTCTCTTTTTAAACAGGGTCTCAGGTAGCCCAGGCTGGCTTCAGTCTAGCTATTTAGCCAAAAATGAGTTTGTACTCTTGATCCTTCTGCCTGCATCTCCTGAATTCCTGGGATTATAGGCATGTTTCAGTATGACTGCTTATCTTGTTCTGTTTTACAGTTGTATGCCTACTGCCTCTGTATTAGGCTTTCTTGGATACATAGTTGTGGAAGGCAGTAGTAGTATAATTTTGAGAGAATATTCTTGTAACCACTGAGAATAACAATTCATCAAGGAATGCTATCTGTTCTTTGCATAAAATTACCAAGTACAGTGTCTGCAGAGATATCTGTCCACATATTCTAGGTACTTCATATCAATGATTTTTCAACCTTAAATAATTGACCATTTTATTGTTTATTTAATTGGTGTTTTTTTTTTGGGGGGGAAGAGGGATAGGTTCTTATCTGTGTAGCCCTCCAGACTTGGAATTTTGTAGACCAGGCTGGCCTCTACTCAGATCCATCTGCCTCTGCCTTGTGAGTGCTGGGATTAAAGAGCTGTGCCACCACTCTAGCTTGCTTGTCTTTTTTAAAGACAGGGATTCACTGTGTAGACCTGGCTGGCCTAGAATTCACAATGAATGATACCCTCTGCCTCTCCAGTGCTGGGATTAAAGGTGTGCACCACCATGTCCAGCCTACGCTATTTTTAAAAATCTGTTTATTTGTTTAAGAGTGCATGTGCCTCTAAATAACATTTAAAAATGGTTTTCTTGTTCACATGTACAGATAGAAGAAACACATTCAGGATTTGAAAAACAGCAAAAGATGACTTCCTCAACTTCTCTTCTCACACCTGTCCAAAAGAATTCTCTCATTCTTCCACTTGGTTAAGAACCATATCGATAGCCATCACCAGATCATACGGAGCAAAAACTTTAATGATATGATGAATGCTGTATATCCTATATGGATGTAGGTCACGAGATTTTAAGCTTTATTTGCCATCTGATACAGGGAGCTGTCCCACACCCAAGTTATGAGTAAACTAGCTTGCAGATCACGGTAGTTCTTAGAGTATGGCTCAGGGATTACTGAAAATGTCTTTTGAGGGCTCAGGGGTGAGTCTTTTCATAATATATGTAAGGCTTGATTTGCCTGCTCTCAGTTATTTCCCTTTGTGTGTAGAGCAGAGACTTGGAGATCAGATGATGTGAGATACTGAAACCCTGACTACCCAGGAAGATAGGAGAATGCAGTTCTCTTCTGTTAACTCAGATACTACAGGGTTTGCAACAGTGTTTTGAAATGGTTATTTTCGGGCTGGAGAGATGGCTCAGTGGTTAAGAGCACTGACTGCTCTTCCAGAGGTCCTGAGTTCAAATCCCAGCAACCACATGGTGGCTCACAACCATCTGTAATGAGATCTGATGCCCTCTTCTGGTGTGTCTGAAGACAGCTACAGTGTATTCATATATAATAAATAAATAAATTAAAAAAAAAAAAGAAATGGTTATTTTCATAAAATAGTGGTTATGTTAATATGTAGCACTTATTTTTATTAAATGGACAGTTTTAGCATTTTAGCTTTAATTTCAAATACAGGAAGTATAGCTTTTTTTTTAAAGCTTTTATTTATTTTTTTATATGAGTACACTGTAGCTGCCTTCAGATACACCAGAAGAGGGTACTGGATCTCATTACAGATGGTTGTGAGCTACCATGTAGTTGCTGGGAATTGAACTCAGGACCTCCGAAAGAGCAGTCAGTGCTCTTAACCTCTGAGCCATCTCTCCAGCCCCGGAAGTATAGCTTTTACCCACAAAAATGAAGGCTTTGGGGAATCTTATGTTTTTATTGATTTTATTTTATATGTATGAGTGTTTCGCCTGCATATATGTGTGGTATCTGCTATCTGCAGTGGTCCGAGGATGTCAGAGGTGTCAGAGCCTCTGGGCCTGCAGTTACAGATGATTATAAATTACCCTCTGGGTGCTGGAAAGTGAACTTGGGTAACAAGTGCTCTTAACCACTGATCTCTCTCTCTAGCCCCAGAATCTTTTTTAAAAAATAATATTTTAATTAATTCTTTGAGAATTTCATATATTTTGATCATATTCACACTCCTCCTTCCTCCTAGGTTCAAATACCTTGACCTCCCTTGGAGTTTTCTTTTAAATTATTTTAGTCTAATCTGGCTTGTCCTGGAGTGTGGTTGACCTACCAGGGATCACACCATTAAAAAGACTGATTCCCTCTCTCTTAGGGTGGGATCTTATTAATTTTTAACAATTTAAGAGAATCTTAGTTCTGTGCTACCATGCCTATCTTGAAGAAAATCTTAAAAGGAAGAACTTTGGGGCTGGAGAGATGGCTCAGTAGTTAAGAGCACTGACTGCTCTTCCAAAGGTCCTGAGTTCAATTCCCAGCAACCACCTGGTGGCTCACAAACATCTGTAATGGGATCTGATGCCCTCTTCTGGTGTGTCTGAAGACAGCAACAATGTACTCTCATATATGATATATATATATGATATATATATCATATATGTATGATATATATATCATATATATTGAAATATATATATATATGATAAATAAATAAATCTTTAAAAAAAGGAAGAAATTTGAGAACCTTCCACGTTGTGTGTATCAAACCAAATTTATTTTGAATTTTTGTACACATATGCACAGAATGAGGTTGGAGGTCAGAAGGCAACTTGTGAAGTCAGTTCTCTGCTTCAAACCGCATAGTTTCAGAGGATTGAATTCAGGTCATCAGACTTGATGACAAGTACTTTTTAACCCACTGAGCACTCTGGCTAGCTCCTAAACTTAAAAGAAAAAACAACCAAATTTTAAACCAAAACTTACTTCTGGATGTATCACTGTGCATGAGTCATTTATTTAAACTCAAGTTTTGAGTTCTTGGAAAAAAGAAATAAATTTATTCCTTCCTTCTTTTTTTCTTCTTTCTTTTTTCCTTTTTTTTTTTTGTTTGTTTGTTTGCTTTTTGAGACCGGAGTCTTCCTATGTGGTCTAGGCTGGTCTTGTTTTGTGGACTTGCTATTGCATTACAGGTGTGCACCATCACACCTGGATGGTTTTGTTTAAGATGGAAGTCTCAGCATTATTTTCGAGCCTGACCCTGGGGTCTCAGCATTGTTTCCAAGGCTGGCCTTGTACCCTGGACTCCAGTAGAGCTTTAGTCTTTCGGGTGGGTAGCTGGGCTGCAGGTGTATGATGCTCCAGCTTTTCGGGGTCTCTTTATCACGCCCTTACGTTGGTCACTGCTTGTCAGTGATAGGAAACTTGGGTTCCAGTAACTGATTGTGGGTTCTGACACCAGCTTACTGAGAAGTCTGCTGGTTCCTGGTACTGTTCTGTTTTCATTTATAGACTGCTATGTCCTAAGATATCTGTATATATTATTCTACATTAAATAGGGAGTGCAGTAAGTGGGGGTTAAGGAAAGATGCTTTTAAAATCAGATCCATACAGATCTATTCTCCTGGGTGTAGCAAGAATGAACTATCTAGGAAGAGAGAATGGTCAGTCATGTTCTTTCCTAAATGAGTACTGGTAGGTATTACTTTAATTTGAGAGGTGTGGTGGTTTGAATGATTAGGGACCCATAGACTGGTGTGTGCATGCTTGGCCACAGGGAGTGGCACTATTAGGAGGTGTGGCCTTGTTGGAAGAAGTACATCACTATGTAGGTGGGCTTTGAGGGCTCCTATACTCAGGTTCTGCAAAGTATGGAAGTTACACTCATCCTGGCTGCCTCTTAGTTCCTCCAGCATCATGTCTGCCTGCATGCTGCCAAGCTTCCTGCCATGATGATAAAGGACTAACCCTCTGGAACTGTAAGGCAGCCCCAATGAAATGTTAGCCTTTATAAAAGTTGCCTTGGTCGTGTTGTCCCTTCACAGCAATGTTTTAGAGTTCATCCTCTATGGAGAGGAGAATATTTTTGGTTTGTCAACAACATAGTCCACTATATGCAGTCAACAAGGCTTTGAAAATTAGGGCAGAGGCTGCTTTGTGTCTTGAGGAAACCTACCACATGCTCGCACAAACTAGGTCCAGCTAAAAAAATTTTAGCAGAGCTGAATTGCACTGAAGTCTGTTCTCAGTCCTAAGGGGTGTGTGTCTCACCCTTGCTGAATGCCCTTCTAGTTCTCCGTTCTCCCTCCACTTTAATTCCCTCAATTCTTTAATCTAAATAACCATATTATTTTATTCCTTTGAAGAGCCAATTAATGCTTTCCTCCTGGTGGGAGGAAGTTGAGAGGCTTGGGAGGTCAGTGTATAAATGACACTTGTTGGCAATTGGCCTTCAAGTAGAATTTAATTTATTCCTCAGCACTTTCCAGCCCTCACTGGTATCTGGAATGTTTCCATCCCCCTTTCATTGGAGGCTGCGCTGCTGAACTCGATTCAGTGGCCTGTGGCAGCTTCTCTGGTTTTCAAGACTGAGTTCCGGATGAACACAGAAGGTGATTCATGCCAAGGCTTCTTACTAGCCACTTTGGATAAGAAAATAATTCTCTGGCAGAGTATGGTGGCATACATCTTTAATCCGAGCATTGGGGAGGCAGAGGCAGGCCGATTTCTGTGAATTCAACAGCCTGGTCAATCTAACAAGTTAAAGGCCAGCTAGGGCTACATAGTGAGACCATGTCTTTAAATAAAAAGTAATTACAAGGACTTATAATATCATTTGTATTTTACTTTTATCAATAAATTTGACCTTAAAAATAAATGTATTCTTTTTAGAAAAGAGAGTTATGGGGCTTTCTTGTCTTTTCAAATCCTTACAAAAAGTTTTTGAAGGTTCTGGCCTCAAGATTTAATTCATTATTAGCAATGGGATGCGTCAGTTGACTAGTACTAACTTAATGGTGGCAGATGGTTATAAGTTGTCTGCTGTGATACAAAAAAAAAGATGCTTTATGACCCAGGTATCCTTGGATTGGCTGTGAATTAAGTAAGGGAAAAGAGTCATAGGATGACTCAGCATATCTGCTTCTCCTCCTTTGAATTAGCAGTTTGGAGACCGGAAGGAATGAGATTAATGTACAGCAAGTCCAGGGGGGCTAAGGTTCTGTGGAAGAAGACATTCAGAGTTTAGGCATTGTAGAACACACCTTTAATCCCAGCACTCAGGAGGTAGAGGAGGCTGATCTGAGTTTGAGGTCCAAGGGTCTACACCGCTGAGTTCTAAGCCAGCCAGGGATACACAATAAGTCTCTGGACAAACAAAACCAGGAAAGCTGATTAAGTTGTAGGTTAGAGAAAATGAATTGTGTGTTCTCTTCTCCTGAACTTTGCCTATCAGACTGTCTTAATAGAACCCCAATTGTAACCATGTAGCACATTCTTTTTCCTGCTATGATTTTTGTTTCTTCTTTGGTTGCTTTGTTATTCGATTGTCTTTCTTAGACAATCCCCGACTCTCCCAGTGTCTCCCAGCACTTGGGAGGCAGAGGCACGAGGATGGATCTCTGAATTTGAGACCACTAGGACTACCAAAGCTACACAGACAAACCTGTCTTGAGCACCCCTCCACTGCCACCTCCAAAGATGTCTTACCAAGTTGTCTTCTGATCTTTCTCTTAGAAACATACATTTACTTTGTTTCCTACAAACCCATTTACACTGAAGCACAGAGCTACATCAGAGAAGAAAGATGGGGAAAGCAAAGGTGTGAAGTAAGGAAGATTGAGGAGTCTTGGTATCATTGGCTGTAGCTCTTTCTAGCAGCCTGTCTCCACTGAATCAAGGGCCTCATAAATGCTAAGTATGTGATCTACTACTGAGCAGCATGCAGACTTGTAAATCACCTTCCTGCCCTCTCTTTTTTGTCTGTGTAGAGGATCGTTGCTGTCTTCAAACCCAAGAATGAAGAACCATACGGGCAACTTAACCCTAAGTGGACCAAATGGCTGCAGAAACTCTGCTGCCCCTGCTGCTTTGGCCGAGACTGCCTTGTTCTCAACCAGGGCTATCTCTCAGAGGCAGGGGCTAGCCTAGTGGACCAAAAACTGGAACTCAACATTGTACCCCGTACAAAGGTCAGTGACCCAGTTCTGGGGAGCCTTAGTTCTTTTCTTTGCTATAGGTTTGCCTGGTCCCTGAGTTCTGTTAGTGAAACTGAGGGTCCAGGGAGGGCTTGTTTAAATCTGAGATACTCAACCTTTTGGGGATGGGTGGTAGGAACAGGCTTCTAGTTTAAAAACTATTCTCAGGACACAGATGAATTTTATATACAATCTTAGGAATCTCACAGGTGCCTGGTATACATTTATGGGCTTCCTTGGTCTTTGTATTTAGGCAGGCTGGTTATAAACCTAGATGCTTTTACTGCTCATTCTCAATAACTTCTGGACCAAGATTTAGGTTCAGTTTCTTTTCTTCCTTCTCTCTTCCTTTTCTCTTTTTTTTTGTGGGGGGGGGGGGGGGGGGGGGAGGTTGAGACAGGGTTTCTCTGTGTAGCCCTGGCTGTCCTGGCGCTCATTATATAGGCTAGGCTGGCCTAGAATTCATGGATATCTGACTGCCTCCCAAGTGCTGGGATTAAAGGCATGCACCACCATGCCCAGTGTACTCACTTGCTCTTGCTCTCGATCTCTCTCTTGTGCTCTCTCTCTTTCTCTCTCTCTCTCAATTAAAAAAAAATGTGTGTTTATGTCTGCATGTGTGTATGAGCTCATGTGTGCAGGTGCCAACGAAGTGTCCTCTGGAGCTGGAGTTACAGGTGATTGTGAGTCTTCTCATGTGGGTGCTAGGTATTGGATTCCACTCCTACAAGAGCAGCAAGTACTCTTAACCACCAAGTCTTGTCTCTCTCCATTCCCTTTTTTCTTTTTAAGAGACCAGGAAGGTCTTGTCATGTTACCCAAATGAGTTCTAAACACAGTATCCTCTGGTGATCCACCTGTTTGAACTTCCCAAGTACCTGAGTCTATAGTATGCCACCATGTCTGCCTTTAGATCCAAATTAGCTGATGTCAGCTAAACCTTATGCAAGGTTTGGTAAAGAGAGTTTGGTTGGGCAGAAGGTGAGAATAAAATGTGTGTTCCAACTCCCTGCAAAGGACTGACAATGGAATTGCCCTAATTTACCTTCATGCTGTGGAATCCTGGGACTTGTCTGAGCATATGAGATAGGGGTCCTGGCCTGGGGATATTGCTCACTGTTAGAACACTTACTTAGCATATGCAAGGCCGGAATTCAATCCACAGCACCACAGGGAAGGGAAGAGAAGGAAAGGACCAGTTCTGGGCAAATTTAAATACAGAGTCACATATCCCTTGTTTGTGTTATGATTTAGTTGAGATTCTGATAAAGGGTTGGGACCATACTCCCCGTCCCCCTTTGAAGCAGTGCTGAATACATACTTGATTTCGTATGACTTCAGGGAGCTTAATGATCCTATAGTGTTTAGGAACATCTTCTATCATTATTGCTTTACAGTCTGTTTCCTAACCTGAAATCCTAGATCAGGCCCCTTCTAGACTCTAGGAGCCCTTTTACATGTTCCCTGCTCAGTGATTGTAATTTCCTTTCTTTGCTAGAATAAATAGCACAGAGCCACAACTGTTTCCTGGCTTCCTCTGCTGGTGTTTCTGGGATACAGTGCCTAAGACTCTGAGGCTTGAGTCTGAATTCTACTCAGTGGCTTTCCTCTTGTTAGAGATACGGTTTTAATATGTAGCTGGCCTTAAACTTGTGATCTTCCTGCCTTAGGCTCCTAAGTGCTGGGGTCACAGAACTGGCCTCTGTGGCATTTTAGTTTGTGTGACCCATGGTAAATCAGTGACTCCTAGTGTATGTTCACTATTCTCCCTGTAAAAATAGAGATAGAAATAATTATTCAGTAGAGTGATTTTTAAGATTATACAGGATCCATATAAAACACATAATAGCATAATGTTAATGCTCTATATATTTTGTGATTTTTAAGAAAATTATCTTTAGTTTTTTGAAAATTATATAATTCTCATTTCTCCCTTTTCTCCCTCCAAACACTCCCATGTATGCCACCCCTTTGATCTCTTTGAAATTCACAACCTCTTTGTCTTCAATTATTTCTGTGTGTGTTTCTAAGTACATAAATAAATAATACTCAGTTTGTATGATGTTATTTTTAATATGTTTTCAGGAGTGTCTATTTGGCATTGGATAACTAGTTGGTGAGCTTTTCCCTGGGAAGGGCTCTTTCTCCTGCTCTTAGCATTCCTTAGTTACCTACAGTTCTTTGTCTAGGGTTGAGGCCTCGTGCGGTTCCCCCCATGTCAGTCTGTCTGTGGTGGTCTTGTTCAGCTCATATTTAGGCAGCCATGTTGGTGAGACTTCATAGATGTAGCTTCTGATATTTTAGAAGACAGTCTCACAGCAAGTTCTTTGTTCCTCTTGCTCTTTCCATCTTTCTGCCCTTCCTTCCACAATGATCTTTGAGCCTTGGGTGTAAGAGGTGCGTGTAGTAGATGGATCAGTCGGGCCCGTGCTTCGCAACGCTGATCATTATGGTTTTCTGTGTTGGTCTCTGTCTATGGCAAAGAGAAGTTTGCTTGATGAGGAATCTTGTGTTTTATAAGCTATTTTAATCATTAACAGTACCTCTGTGACTCCCTCGATAGAGAATGAGTTCTGAGGCTTTCTTGCATCAGCATCAACAATACAAAAACACTTAATCTGCCCACAGTGATGGTGTGCACCTTTAATTCCAGAGGCTGAAGCAGGCGGATCTTTGTGAGTTTGAGGCCAGCTTGGTCTACAGATTGAGTTCAGGACATAAAGAAACCTTGTCTCGGAAAACAAACAAAAAAACCCCTATCTTCTATGAAGTTGAGTTGAGACAGAACTTTGCAAGTTTAAATTCAGCTGCTGGAGAATATAAGAGGAATCTCTTCCCTTTACTTCCTGTCCTACTCTTGTGACAGGATTCTATCCAGTTGATCAGAGCATCTGTCACTATAGAAACAGGACTCACATTGTGAAGGTACCTGAAATAGTAAAGATCTAGTTCTGACTCACTGGCTCTTCTGCTTCCTGTGAGGTAGTGACAGTTTCATACAGAGTCATACAGAGAGGAGTGGTATGCTGGGAAGAAAAGCAGCAAGTACACCTGATAGAGGGAAAAATGCTTTGAAGCTTGAACAGGCCAGGGGTTTCAAGTGGAACCTGGAAAAATGGCCTGAAAACACTTTTGTTTCCCCACATACATTTATTATGTGTATGTAGTAGTAGGAGTCACATGTAGGAGTCAGTGCTCTCTTTCTCACCACAGTTGTGTGTGCTGGGGCCACATTGGGGCGGTTACGCTTGGTGGCCAGCGCCCTGAACTGAGGGCCCCCTCCTCCTCCTCCTCCTCCTCCTCCTCCTCCTCCTCCCCCTCCTCCGTCTTCTTTTTTTTTTTTTTTTTTTTTTGTTTTTTTGAGACAGGATTTCTCTGTATAGCCCTGGCTGTCCTGGAACTCACTCTGAAGACCAGGCTAGCCTCGAACTCAGAAATCCACCTGTCTCTGCCTCCCAAGTACTGGGGTTAAAGGCATGCACCACCACTGCCCGGCTACTTTTTCTTTCTTTATTGCTCCTTTTTCCCTCCCCTCTCCCCTGTTTTTCTCTCTCCCCTCCCTTTCTCTTCTCTTCTGTAAAATGAATTAATTTATTTTTGGTTTTTCGAGACAGGGTTTCTCTGTGTAGCCCTGGCTATCCTGGAACTCTCTGTAGACCAGGCAGCCTCTGCCTCCCAAGTGCTGGGATTAAAGGCGTGCGCCACCACGCCCGGCAAATTATTTTTAGTGTAAATGTAATTAGTAAATTAATCCAGCAGTTGTATTTCTTTTTCTTAGCTGGTCCCAATAACCATACAGAGATACCAAGATTATTTTGATGGCTTTACCTCACTTATCTGGAGAGTTGGTTGATTTACATTAACCCCTAAGCTAACCTGACTCCCTCCCAGCCATGCTCCCAACTAAACTTGCAATTAGGGCTTCTGTTGTTCAGATGAACACTTAAAAAATTATTCCTCCCCATGACCACGCTGCTCAACCGACCCTTTCCTCATGGCTTCCACTCTAACTCCCCGAAAATACACCCACCCCACCCCCTGGCAGAGGTCTTGCCCTATTCTCTCTTCTGCCCAGCCATTGGGTGATCAGCATTTATTGACAAAGCAGAGAATAAACGGTAAGAGTTGTTTATACAAACTTGAGACAGGAGTTCTTGTCCTAGCATTGCAATGCCATGTCCAGATTGAGACAAGATATGGGAGCTGAGAAATCAGGATTTAAATAACACAAGGATAACCTTTACAAAATGCACAAAAACATCACGCCTACACCTTTTTCTTTTCTTTACCTTTCCTTTCCTCCCATAACACATTTGAGACCAGGTCTTACTCTATAGTGCATTCTGGCCAGGAACTGACCCTATAGACCAGGCTGGCTTCAACCTTGTGTGGATCCCACTGTCTTTGTGTGTTAAGTGCTGAGATCACAGACATGTATTCCATATATTCCCATGCCCAAGTCATTCACATCACAAGGGATGTGAGACTGTTAGATGGTGTGGCTCTGCCATCTCAGAGCCCATTGTTATAGCGTCACAGATTAGGAAATACGAACTAAGAGTTGTGGGAGATATGCATCATTTTATCAACATTATATTGTCCAGAATTAGCCATATTTATTACCCTGGACCATAAGACAGAGAAATGCTCTTTCCTGGAAGAGGAACACTATTACTGATCATCCCACTATTCTCTGCCACACTAGTCTCCTTTCTTAAAGTTAATTCTTGCCTAAGTGTCTTTTCTCTTTCCCTTGCAGGTAGTATACCTGGCCAGTGAAACCTTCAACTACAGTGCCATTGACCGAGTAAAGTCCAGGGGCAAGCGGCTTGCACTAGAGAAAGTGCCAAAAGTTGGGCAGCGGTTTAACCGCATTGGGCTACCACCAAAGGTATAGATTGCACTTATGTGACTTAACAAAGTCGATGGTTTTTGGTGGCGTAATCAGTCAAGGCGGGAACCAGGGTGCTTACAGACTTTAACTGTGCGTGTGAATGACCTGCCTGAGGTTCTTGACTCTCTCTGTCACTTCTGTCAGGGATGAACAGTCCTCACTTTATTCCTCTGGAGTGTAGACCGTTTGCATAGGCTTCTTGAGCTTGGGTGGGTGAACCTCCCCACCCCTTTCTCCTGGACCTACAAGGAGATAAAGGCACGGTACTCTTGGAAATGCTCCTTTCTCTGGTGTGAACTCCACAGGGCCTTTGTGGGTCCTTGGCTTACTTGGCCTCTACAGAGATGCTTTTGTTCCTAACTCTTGGTTGTAGGTCGGGTCATTCCAGCTCTTTGTTGAAGGCTACAAAGATGCAGACTATTGGCTGCGGCGTTTTGAAGCAGAACCTCTCCCTGAGAACACGAACCGACAGCTACTATTGCAGTTTGAGCGGTTGGTGGTGCTGGACTACATCATTCGCAACACTGGTGAGCAGCCAGGGGTGCTCCCGTGCTCTGTACCAAAGGTCTGAGGACTGAGCTCTGGAGGGACTGAAGGTGCTACCTTGTGAGGATGGCATTTTCCTGTGTTTGAATGGGTATGCATATTTGAGGGCCTGGCAGACCAATTTTCCAGGTTCAATTTCATCCAGATACAGCATCTGCAAGTTATCAGAGGCAGTAGTAAATCCTGAGCTGGGACTTACCTGGCTCTTCTGAAACACTGTGGAAAGTACATTCACTCTAGAGTCCTTCATCCTTAGGACTTCTTGAAGTAGGTTCTGGGATCATTGATTTTCTTTTGTTGTTTTTTGAAACAGGGTTTCTTTACCTCTGGTTGTCTTGGGACCTTGAACTCACCAAGATCCATCTGCCTTTGCCTCCAAGTGCTGAGATTAAGTAGGTCACTATGTCTAGCATGATTTTTTTTTTTTTAATATGTTAGTGAACTTGAATTCATCTGACCTGACCAAACCTGACCAAATACTTGTATTGAGGATGAAAGCTTTAGATTCATGCCTTCTTAGCAGGATATTTTGATTACTAATCAGTCTCCTTAGGAGATTTTTTGATTCTTGGTGGTTTAATCATGGCAGGTTTTATGTGTCTAGGACTATCTCCATTTCTACGTTATTGAGTTTGTTGGCATAAAATTGTTTTTAGTGTTCTTTTTATGTTTATAGAATTGTTGGTAATATTTCTGGTCTCGTTTTTATCCATTTTCCCCCTTATTCTGTCTAGCTAAAGCTTTGTCCCTTTTGTTGATCTTAGCTTGTTTATGTGGTTTTGGTTTTTAAGATAGGGCTTCACCATTCACCATGAGACTCTGGCTGTCTTGGAAGTCTCTGTGTGGTCCGGTCCAGGCCTGGCCTCAGACTCACCAAAGTCCTTTGCATCTGCCTTCCAAGTGCCATAACTAAAGGCGTGTGCCACTACGAGTTCCTGCTGGTCTTAAAGGCCAGCTTTTGGTGTCTTTGTTTTTCTGTTTTGTATTGATTCTCTGTTCAGCGTGCATCTGCCCCAGTGCAGCATCTGCCCTGGTGCCGTACCCTCTCTTCCATTTGCTTTCAGTTTGTTCTTCTTTCTACTTCTGTAAGTTATAAGGTGAAGCTGTTGAAGGTATTAGTGAGCTTTCTCATTTTACAGTATAAGTATTTATAGCTACAAATCTATCACTAAGCTCTGTGCTGTTATATCCGATATATTTTGGTTAGGTGTCTATTCACTTCCATTGTCTCGTAAGCTTTTCTTAGTTGCCATTGTGATTTTATCTTTCATCCATTGTTTAATTATGGAATTTTGTGAATTTCCCTCCTCCTCCTCCTCTTCTTCTCCTCCTTTTCCTCCTCTTCCTCTTCTTCTTCCTCCTCCTCTTTCTCCTTCTGTTCCTCCTCCTTCAAGACAAGGTTACACCTTGTAGCCCAGGCTGTTCTGGAACTCGATGTGTAGCTCAGGCTAGTCTAGAACTCAGTGCACTATTTCTGCTTCTCAGAAAGCAGGCGTGAGCTCTTGTGCTTAGGTTGGTTGTCTGTCTGCTGTTGCTTGATGACTGACTACTCCATAGACTTCCTTTTATTGTAGTTTTGCTTCCTGTTGTTTATTACCTGTGGTTAATTGTGGTCTGAAAATACTAAATGGGAAGGTTCAGAAATAAATAATGCATAAGCTTTATATAACTTTAAAAAAAGATTCCATTCTAAGTAGCTTAAGTTTCTTGCTGTCTTACCCAGCACATGAGTCATCCCTCTGTCCAGCATATCTGCATTTTGGAATTGCCTGTCTGTCAGTTTTAGTGATCTTAGCTAGTATTTCCTTCAAGTGAAGAAGTGACTTTAGATGTTACAGAGCATATATGTAAGGGGAGGGATAACAGTTTATGTGGAGTTTTGAGTTTGTGTGCTCTAGTTTTAGGATCCATTTGGGAATCTTGGAACACACCCTTGGATAACTTTGACTGTTACCTACTTTTTTTCAGTCTATTAACAGTCTGTGACTTCATATCTGATCATCCTGGAAAGTATCTCATGTCCAGTGAGAAGCAGTGTGAGGATAAGAAAAGAGTTGTGTGTGTGTATGTGTCTGTTAGACCTTTTGCTGAACTTTCCCTATGCACATTCCTTTAAAGAATAACTAAAGTAACCCCGGATGGTATCCTATAGAACACTATTCAAGTGTTATATACCCAAATTGTCTCATGAAAAAAATAGTTTTTGTTTTGTTTTGAAACAGGGTCTCACTATGCAGAGCAGGCTGGCCTCAAACTCAGAGATCTGCCTGCCTCTTCCTTAGTGCTGGGGCTAAAGGTATATACCATTGCACTTTACAGCAGTGATTTTTATTCTTCATCAGTAAAAATGATACAAACAGGTCCAGATACTACATTCCATTCATGCATTCACCAACCCCCATTTTTAATTTCTTGAAGCAGCTGGGTATTTGTCCTGTAAAATTTTCATATTGACAGATTGAGTATCCTCCATTCCCTAGGTTTCTTTCAGATTGTTGCTAGGTCTGAAGACTTGGTAAAGTTCAGGTTTGGATTTTTAATAAATTTTATTTTGCCGTAAAGTTAATAGAAATACTACAAAAATGGTATTTACAAATTCAATCAGTCTGGGCTTGGTAGTGCAACTCTCTATTCCTAGCTCTTGGAAGCTAAGGCAGGAGATTGCAAGTTCAAGGATAGCATATGCAATGCAAGATGCTGTCTCAAAAAATAAAATTAATTCCAGGGCCAGCAAGATGACTCAGTGGATAAAGACACTTGCTGCTAAGTCTGATAACCTGAGTTTGATCCCCAGGACCTACATGTTAAAGGAGGAATTGACACCTGCTAGTTATTCTGTGACCTCCGCAAATGTGCCATGGCACATGACCCCCATCCTAATTTTTAAAACTCAATTGAAAAACTTTTTGAGACTCAGTGGGTCACAGCTTATAGGTCAGTGGCAGAGTGTTTGCTTAGCATACACAAGGCTACAGGTTCAATACCCAGCAGAACTCTTGTTCCTGAATCGTAATAGTTTATCTGCTTTACTAATAACCTCTGTCCCATATGCGTTTTCTTTAATGGTCTTAAATACATTTTTATTACATTGAGTTACTTATGGGGTGGGGGAGTCGTGTCTGTCATGGCTCATGTATGGAGGTAAGAGGACAATTTTCAGGAGTTAGTTCTCATATTCTGCCTTGTGGGTATTGAGGATTGAATTTAGTTGATAAAGTTACCTGCTGCCATCTCAGTATTGTCCACCCCCACTGTACCCCACATATATTTTTTTTTGGACCTTCTTCAGTTAAAGATGTATTGCCTCTTTATCCCTGAGTATTTCCTAAATACAAGGATATTCTCTTATGTAACAGTAGTACAACTATAAAAAATTTAGATGTGCTATTATCTAATCTGTACACTGAATTCATTCTGTTTTTGCCAGCTTGCTTTAAAATGCTTTCATTGTGAAATAATGTCCTAGATCTTAGATGGCTGTGTAGCACGGGGCTGTGGTCCCAGTGCTGGGGAGGCAGAGGCAGGGGAAAGTCCTTGGCTGTGTAGGCATTTGGAGGACAGTGGTAGGCTATAAACAAGACATCTGGACCACTGGTTTTGTCTGGTTGTTATCTCTTATTTCTCCTTCAGTCTGGAACAGTTCTCAGTCTAGCATGATGTCAGCATTTTGGAAGAATGTCATTTGGAAGGCCACTGATTGTTTTGCTTGTCTGTTTTAGAATACTTTTCAGCTTGGTGTGTCTGTTTCCTCACAATGACCTTAAATTAAGCATGTTTTAGCAGGAGTGTCACAGAAGTGGTATCAGGTTCTTAGAGCAGTATCAGGAAGCACGTCCTGTCTCATATTGATACTAATTTTGGTAACTTGATTGTCTCTTGGATTTTCTCTATTGTGCAATTTATCCATACTTGGTGTGGGAACGTCTCTTTACATAAGTGGTAGAAGATAGAACCTAGTGGACAGAAGTTTTAGGTCACTGGTATCATGCTCTTGAAGTAAGGGGGCTTGGGCCCCCTCACCCCCCTCCCTGCTCTTTTTTGTTTGTTTCCTGACCATTTTTAGGTAAACATCCTCCTCCACCATATCCTCCTTACTATGTTCTGCTTGCCACAAGCCCAGGGCAGCAGGACCAGGTTACCTCAGGCTGAAACTAAATAAAACTAGATGTTTCTTCCTTATAAGCTGATTTCTTTCCCAGGTACTTTGCCAGAGCAATGGGACACAAACACATAGACTTGTTTATTGAGATAGGGTCTCTTTATATAGCCCTGGCTATCTTAGAACTCTGTACACCAGGCTGGCCTTGAACTCACAGAGGTCCACCTCTCTTTGCTGTCTGAGTACTGGAACTGAAGGTGTGCATCACCCAGCCACATAATTTTTATTTAATATATTTACTCACTTTCTGTTCTTATTTATTTTGATGCTCAAATTTTCCCTAATTTGGCCAGTGTTCCTGTGCTCTTCTGATATGTATGTACTATAAGCACTTCCTTAATCTCTGGCACAAGATGTTCTGGGTTCATCTTCTGGTTCCAAGCTGGAATTGCCATTTCTCTGAGGTTCCTCTTTTTATTTATTTATTTATTTATTTATTTATTTATTTCGGGTTTTTTTTTTAGGTTCCTCTTTTTAAAAAGGATATATTTATAGCTATAAATTTATAAGTTCATATGAATGCTTCCATTTTCATTCAGACACAGGTTTATTTTAGCCTTCTTTGATTTATAATTCCTTTCTGGATACACACTGACCTAACTCCCAGTACAATAATTTACAATACAATAAATAAAATAATATAATATAAATTTATTTATTTTTTAATACAGTACAGAAAGGAGTTTCAGAATTGCTAAAGGGAGGAAAAAAATACTAAGTAGATTTGAGACTTTGTAAAGCATTAGCCTTTCCCCAAATAGCAGAATTATCCAATATCATTGTTTCCTTTCCTGCCACTTGGTAGCTTCATTTCTACTTCCTCCCCCAATCCTTTCTTCTCACTCTTCTTCTTCTTTTTCTCCTCCTCCTCTTCCTCCTCCTCCTCCTCCTTTTTTTTTTTTTTTTTTTTTTTTTTGAGACAGCCTGTAGCCTGTACTGGCCATAAATGTTTGATCTTTCTTCCTCAAGCCTCATTAATGGCTGGATTATAGGCATGTAACACTGTACCCAACTACTAGAATACTTTGCCCACCTGCAAGGACATTTTATTCATAACATGCACTCATCTTTTCGTCTCACCAGACTCAGTTATTCTCATTTTGACAAATCCTTTTGTTGTTTGTTTTAGGGGTGTATCTCCACTCCTGGCTATACCTTTTATCTTCTTGAAGATACTAAATATTTTACTTGCCCATTTAAAAGTCTATAGAAGATAAGTCCCTTGTTCGGAGGTGTTACAGGTCTGTTTTTGTGGTCTCATTTCTGTTCTTTCTGGTTTTGTTTCTGTGATTGGTTGGTTGGTAGTCAGATACTTTATCAGAACCGTAGAGATGTTTAAGAGTCTCGGACGCTGTGTAGATCTTACCCAGGGTACAACGTTTATGAAGGGCCAGCACCTGAGTCACCAGTACCCAAGGTCACATTAGCCTCAGATACTGAGGAGGAGCTTTGGTTGCTTCCAAGATGGGCTCCAAGTTTTTTCTCTGTCAAGAGCCACTGTCTCATTCCCCAGCCTTCCAGCCACCTCTTCCCACATCAGTGGGTGCTGCAGTAGGGGACTGAAGCCATAGGTATGGAATCCCCCCGTGCGTGCTTTCTCTCCTGGACTCAGCTCTTAAGATTCCTTTTTCCCTTCCCTCCTTCCTTACCTTTCTTCCAAGACAGTGTTGTCGTAAGAACCAGGCCAGCCTTGAATTTATGATCCTCCTGCCTCAGTCTCCTGAGTGCTGGGATTTTGACTCAGATTTTATGATCGTGTTAAAATCACCAATGCCTTTCAGAGATTTTAAAATATTTTATCCTGCCTTATAGTTGATCTCAGTTGGAGAGGTAGTCCACGTATTTCCAAATGTTTAATCCATTATTTCTAAAGTCAGATAAGTTATTTCTACTAACAGTGTTTCTGTTTACAGACCGAGGCAATGACAACTGGTTGATCAAATATGACTGTCCAATGGATAACCCTAGCTGTCGGGTAAGAGGTTGCTCCATATCTAAGAAGAGGATGGGAGGAGAAACCCTTAAACTGTGGAAACACAGAATAGAGATTTAGGTCACAAAAGTTCAAAAGAGTCAGAGAAACTCAAGGATTTAAAGTTAAGTTAATAATTGGTATAGTTTTTTTTTCATGTGTTTTAAGGAACATCTTGCTGAGTGATATTAATTGGGGTAACATCAAGAAAAGGAGTAAGTTTGGAGCACATTACATACCCTTTCCATTCTTTCTTTTGAGTTTCATGCTGCACTGTAGTAGAGTAAAGGTCTGAGAAATACTACATTGAATGAATCCGCCTATATTGTTTATCCCAGCGGCTTCTGCCCTTTTAAGTCATGGGGCACTTTTTTTTTAACAGACAAATCAGACCCTACAAGCTTAGAAAGTTTCAGTGCCTTTAAGGTTTTTTTTTTTTTTTTTTGAGACAGGGTTTCTCTGTATAGCCCTGGCTGTCCTGGAACTCACTCTGTAGACCAGGCTGGCCTCGAACTCAGAAATCCACCTGCCTCTGCCTCCCAAGTGCTGGGATTAAAGACGTGTACCACCACTGCCCGGCCAAGTTTTTTTTTTTTTTTTTTTCTTTTAAGATTGAATTCATGTGTACGAGTTTTTGCCTGTTCAGATGTCTGTGCACTATATGTGTGCCTGGTGTCTGCAGAGGCCAGAAGAGTGTGTCTGATCTGTGGCTCTGAGCCACCATGTGGGTGTTGGGAATCAAACTTATGTGCTCTGCAAGAGCAGCCGGTGCTCTTTAACCTCAAGCCATCTCTGCTACAATTCCTGTTCCTGTGATGGCGCCACGGAGCCTGAAGAAATCATGGAACCACATAGGCGTAGTGTTCCAGGTGTAGCCAGCCAAGGGTGATCACTCTACTCAGTTCCTGTCCTGTCCTTTTCTTCTCTTTATTTTCTTTTGTTTGTTTGTTTCATTTTTTATTTTTTTTTCCAGACAGGGTTTCTCCTTGTAGCCCTGGCTGTCCTGGAACTAGTTCCGTAGACCAGACTGGTTTAGAGCTCCTATCTGCCTGCCTCTGCCTCCTAAGTGCTGGGATTAAAGGCGTGCGCCACCACTGCCCTGCTTGTCCTTTTCATCTTTTTGTATCACTGACTTATGATAGTTACCTTGTATAGAAACCTGTCATCCTTGATTCTGTTTTCTCAATGGAAAATGGGGACATTGTTACCATTACCAGTGAAGTCATGTCTGTGCTAGGTAGGGTCCACACTAAAAGACCTTGGCAGGCTGACACAAAATTTTCTTTCCTTCTATTCTCAAGTTTTACCTTAGAATAATTTCCAACTATTTTTGTTTTTGTCATTATCCTACTAAGGACTCAGGCAAGTTCTAGGTAAATAAATGTACATGTTCCAGAATCATCAAGGACCTCTAGCAATGTGTATGGTACACACTTGTAACACTAGCATTTAGGAAGGAGAGACCAGCCTGAGTAACATAGTAAAACTCCTGTCTCTGGGAGTAAGGGGTGGGGTAAGAGGGAGAAATTCCAGAGAACCTTGAACAGACTCAGATGCCACTAATAAACTAGGTCCAGAAAACAGTATGAAAACCAGTAGAGGTTGGATCTAGGTGAGGGCAAGCTAGAGGAGGGCTGAACTGAGGTGTCTTGCTGCTATTTATCTATTTATTTATTTACTTGTTTGTTTGTTTGTTTGTTTGAGGCAGGGTGTCTATGTAGCCATGGCTGGTCTGGAGCTTGTTCTATAGACCAGGCTAGCCTTGAACTCAGAGATCCTCCTGCCTCTGCCTCCTGAGTGCTGGAATTAAAGTTATATACCACCCCTATCCTCCCTTCTTGCTGCTCTTTTAAAGGGCCTGAGCAAGTCTCTTTGTTCTGCAGGACACAGATTGGGTGATGGTGAGGGAGCCTGTTATCAAGGTGGCTGCCATAGACAATGGGCTAGCTTTCCCACTGAAGCATCCTGACTCCTGGAGGGCATGTAAGTTTAAAAGCACTGAGCTTTGCTCTGTTTGTTGCTGTAGTAGGATCAGCCTAAGAATTAATGAATTACTGTAGCTTCAGACATTTTACACACTAGCCAACAGCATATGGCAACTGTTCCACAGTATAAACTATTTTAATTTTTACCATTATTTCCACTAGAGGTATATGGGTAATGAGAGAGTAGACGCATATGGGTTGGGTGGGAAGCATGTGTAAGGCCCCTCCGTTCCATTTCTAATTCTTGCAAAGTAAATGAATCAGTATAAAAATGGTTTTTCTCCTTTTCACTTTGCATTCTTCTCAAACTTGTCTTTTCATATTTTATTCCATTTGGGTTTCTGCAGATAAATTGCTGTCAGTGCCCTGTCTTCCTTGTACTACATACCCCATTGTTACTGAGACTCTGGAAAGGACAGGAGTGGAGTCACTAGCCCCTTTGTATCACCAGCCTTTCTTCAGGACCATTTGAAAGCCTAGCAAGAAGTTGCATCTGGATAGGGCTGTTTGTAGAAGGTCATATGTCACCTGAGAAAGAGCTCTGAGATTAGGCAGCTCTGGGTGGGACACCTGAGTCTTGTGTTGACTGGTTGTGCAGTCTTAGGGTCAGCAAGTCTTGAATGTGGATTTTGTTGGTAATGTACTTCAGGGAAGGGTTGTTTTGTTTTTGGAATACCCCTGATAGAAGACCCAGGACGGGGGACTTTTCCAGCACCAGCTTTGCTGTGCGCCTTTTCTCTTTTCAGATCCTTTTTACTGGGCCTGGTTGCCTCAGGCGAAAGTCCCATTCTCTCAGGAGATCAAAGATTTGATTCTTCCAAAGATTTCAGACCCTAACTTCGTCAAGGACTTGGAGGAAGACCTATATGAGCTCTTCAAGGTCAGCCCTTTGGAAAAAGGCCATTCTTTCTGGTTTTTCTTCTTAGTCCTGACACAAGCCAAGAAGGATATTGTCTTACACCATTCTCACTTGAGTTAGCCGAAAAGCAAAGTTACTACAGACTAGCTGGAGCTGGTTTGGAAGGCTTGAAAGAAGTGGCAGCCCTGGTGATAGGATGGTGTAGCTCAGGTTGCAGAGTGCTTACTTAGCACACAAAGAGCCCTTGTTCCTTCTCTAGCACCACTTGAAGCCCGTGTGCTGTAGTACTCAACTGGGGGAGGCAGGAGGATCAAACGTTCAGTGTTCTAAGTGGGACAGGAAATGGTATACTTATTTCCCAGCCCACTGCTTCCTTTCTGTGTACTGAGTAAACTACTCTTAGAGACTTAACTGGGGGCAGGGGATGGGGGAATGGGTTCCTGAGAGGCATTCTGTGGTTCCATCATCTCCCTTCTGCCCTTTTCTTGTAGAGAGATCCTGGTTTTGACAGGGGCCAGTTCCATAAGCAGATTGCTGTCATGAGAGGCCAGGTAAGCCTGGGACATTTCCCATTGCCTTTTTCTCTCTGGAAGGGTTATATATGCTCATGTTGAACAGATGTAGCAGGATTGTGTTTGACAACCTTTTAGCTATGTGCCATATATAATTATGACTCTGCCCTAAAATATGGGAGAGGAAAGGTAGCCTTCTGCAGTCTCCTCCCTCTTCTATGGTGTTGACACCAGGGTTTGCTGAAGGACTCATCGAGTGTTTAGCCCTGTGCTAGTTGCTGTGTGCATTATTGGTAAATAAACCAGCTCACTGGCCTTGAACTTCTCAAGGCTACATGCCTCATTCAGGGCTGATAATTGGGCAAATCATACCAGTTACAGGTTCTGTGATGCTGGGCAAGAGTCTGCATTTTCTTGCTTATAAAATAAGGTAGTAACTCTTCCTTGCTCTATTGTGGACAAATATATAAGAGAGTTCATGGTAAGCAATAAGTAAAATACTGTGGGTGCATGGTAAACATGCACACACTCATCATAGTTACAATGTTGTTTAATTACAAGTTGTATTCTTCTTCCTTTCTGTTCCACCTTCAGAGGGAGCTAGAGAAACCTGGAATTGTCAAAACTGTGTAGACCCAAGCATGGTGGTGCACATCTATAATTACAGCACTCAGGAGGCAGAGGCAGGTGGATCTCTGTGAATTTGAAGCCAGCCTGGTCTACATAGTGAACTCAGGACAGCCAGAGCTATGTAGTTAGACACTATCTCAAAGACTAAGCAAAATTGTTGGGTACTGGTGTCATAAGTATCACTTAAGGAGAGCTCAGCAGGGCTGGAGAGCTGGCTCAGTGGTTAAGAGCACTGACTGCTCTTCCAGAGGTCCTGAGCTCAATTCCCAGCAACCACATGGTGGCTCACAACCTTCTGTAATGGGATCTGATGCCCTCTTCTGGTGTGTCTGTAGACAGCGACAGTGCACCCGAGCTCAGCAGTGAAGGACACAGACTGATCCGAGTTCCTGGGTCTGGAGCCTGGTGCTCCCATCACCTGCCTATGAGACCTGGTGCAGAGCTTGTTTCCGTCATTTTTCTCATGCCTTGCTTCATAGTATTATAATTCGATGTATTCTTGGAAACAGTTGTAAATAGAAAAGTCAGCTTCTTGAATCTTTTTTTTTTTTTTTTAAATACCTGACAGGGTTTCTCTTGGAACTCAATTTGTAGACCAGGCTGGTCTCTAACTCACACAGATCCACCTGCCTCCTGAGTGTTGAGACTAGAGGCATGTGCCCCCATGCCCAGCTTCTTGAATCTTTTTCTTTGAGATAGGTTGTTGTATAGTCCAGGCTGGACCAAAAGTTATTATGTAGTCCAAAACCCTTGATCATCCTGGCTCCATTTCCTAAGTGCTAAGAGATCACAGGCATGTGGCTATAATTATCTTACTAACTTGAATCTTCAAAGAATGTATTAGTCTTTCCACTACAAGTATATATTTACCCTTCCTACCATTTAGCTAAAGGCTCCCAGAGAGCGCCTTTGGGCTGCTGAGCTCATTTTCCTTGAAATGGGATAGTCAAGACGTTTTAAGAGCTGTCATTTATTCATCTGTCTAAATAACAATATTATGCCTTTCCAAGGAAAGCAAGGGCCCAGTGAGGCTGGCATACACCACCATAGCAGCCTTCCCACCGTCCCTATTAGGGTATCATCTATCTAGGCAGGGGTAAAGCTAGGGGAGAAGAGCAGGTGAAATTTACCTTTCTCTCTACCGTATGTTCTTAATGTCTGTAGAACAGCTTTGGCAGTAGGAGTGTTGTATAAGCAAAGGAAGCGTTGTTTTGAGCACAGGAATCGCAATTTGATTACATATTCAGAGGCAGACCTACAGTGTGTTCTGGAAAGGACAATGGAGGGGAAACTTGCAAGGAACCCAGCACAGTAGTCTGACTTTGTGTCACTTGTTTTGAAACTTTTTGGACCAGTTGACTTACCTCTAGGTAAATAATCATAGGGTAGGACTGTGGTGTAGCCTCCTAAGTCAGATAATCATAGTTTGCTTAGTCACACACATTCAGCCGATTTACCTACCCTTCAAAATGACAGGGCCAGGCATGCTGATACTCTGAACCTTTGGGAGGCTGGGGTAGGAAAGGCTTAGCTAAAGGGTACCTGCCTGGTGTGTATGAAGCTTTGGGTTTGGACCTGAGCACCACAAATTTTGAGAGAGGATTACAAGGTCAAAGGGAATTCTTTTCAGCTTTCCCGTATGATTATTCCACATTCCAGTCCCACAGCCATGCAGTCTGTCTCTGAGCTCTCTCCACCTCTCAGGTCATATTTTCTATTTCTGTCATCTTAAAGGGCAGAGAAGTATTTGTTTCTACTTGGTATTATAATTTCTGCTTTGTTTGCTTGTTTGTTTTAAGGCAGGAATACTGTCCAGGTTGGTCTCAGATTCCTGGCCATCAAGCGACCTTCCTGCCTTACGCAGACACAGTTTTTAAAACTTGTTAATGAAGTGGTATCCACTTCGATGGTGTGCCTATTCAGATTCCAACTTTCTTTAAAAGAAATTTAGGACCATTTTTATTTTATTGTGTGAGTGTTTTGCTTGTATGTTTATCTGCACCCCACTTGTATGAATGGTGTCCATAAAGGCCAGGAACAAGGGTCAGACCCCCTGGAACTGGAATAACAGATGGTTGTGAGCTACCATGTGGGTGCTGGGAATTTAACCCAGATCCTATGGAAGAGCAACCAGTGCCTTTTAAGTATGAGCCATCTCTCTAGCCCCCACATTTTCAAATTTTCATTTAAAACTATGTGTCTATCTCTATGTATGTTTGTGCATGTAAGTATGGTGCCGTAGTATTACAGCAGAGGGCATCAGATACCGTGGAGCTGGAGTTATGGGTGTTGTGCGCCACCTCACAGGGATGCTAGGAGCTGAACTCAGATCCTGTGCAAGAGCAGTAGATGCTGTTTCAGTCACTGAACTCCCTCTCCAGCCTTACGTTCCTACTTTTGTAAATAGCCTACTTCCATGGTATCTCCATTGGCATTTGTTTTTGACATGAGGGATGATACTGTCTGCAGAGGCAGCCGTAGAATACTCAGCCTTTCACCCCCCTCCCTTTTTTTTTCAATGCAGATCCTAAATTTGACCCAGGCCCTAAAAGACAATAAGAGTCCCCTGCACCTCGTCCAGATGCCACCTGTGATTGTTGAGACGGCCCGTTCTCATCAACGGTCTGCAAGTGAATCCTACACACAGAGCTTTCAGAGTCGGAAGCCCTTCTTTTCATGGTGGTAGCCCCAGAGGCAGGCAGAAGAAATCCTGCAGGAGACAGGCTGGGAGGAAGCCAGAGAAACTGGTGCACAGCAGAGCCTTTCAGAGCCCTTCCTCTTTGCTCGACACCTCCCTCAGGGCTTTCCTACCCACAGGGAGAAGCACAATCAGGGACAAGCGTGCTCCTGGACCTTCAGAGTGTTGGGGAGGCTCATGTCCAGGCACAGAGCCCAGGCAGCTAAGGAGGAGCAGCTCCCTCCTAGCATTTGGTGGCTGGTTGGGAAAGTCCCATCTCTCCCTAACAACCCTCTCCATCCAGGCTCCCTAAAATATTCTGCATCAGAAACAAACAAAACAAAAACAACAGAAACAAATTTATATGCTTATAGGAAAACCCATATTAGATCCTCTGACATCAGAAGCCCTTAATCTAGAACCTAAATTTGTTCAGACAGAGGCGCTCTGATACTTAGCAGTTGTTTGTTTACTCCATGAACTGAGCTGTCAGAGACCTATTGCTGGCCCACAGACAGAAGCCATTCCTTTCTGGTTTTGCCAAATTGACCCTCCTCTTGCCACACTGGTACTGACTTCTTGTGGCAACGAGCAGGTTCATGTTCTGCACCTCTAAGAGGCTCTGCACACAGTCCTTTTCAATGCCCTGCTGTAACTTGTCCGGCACTCAGCTGAAGCAGGAGAGGCAGCCTTGGCAGTTGTGTTCTGCTAGGAATGGTTGTGTAAGGTGGAAGTGATTGACTTAGCCTGCTTGCCTGACGGGTGCTTAGGAGGGTTCTGTGGGGAGCCTGGCACAGCCTCACTTCTGGTCCTTAGTCCCCATGCTTTCCTACTTTTCTATTTCTGTTAATCTATTTCCCCCAATTTTTAAATGAGGAGTTCAGTTTGGGTTCTGGAGTGGCTTTCAGCAGGGGTTGTAGGTCAGTAGGTTCATGAGCGGCCAGGACAGTGTCTCTGTTCCTGTTACCACTGCTGCCTGGAAAAAAACAGGACCTGTGTTGTGCCTCCTAACTGGCTTGCCCCTTGGCTCCCTGCCTTCTTGTCCTGGGCTGGTTTCTGCTCAGCTTCTTAAAGAGAGGCCTTCCAACAGTCCCCCAGTGCCTGCCCAGCTCAACGTGCATCTTCCTGCTTCCATGTCTTCTCCCTTGCCAGGTGTTTGAACCCTTTCTACACCAAAGCAAAGAATTGGCTTCAGGAGGGAGTGGAAAGGGGGCCTCATGTGGCCGAGAGGCAGCAGCAGTGTTCACACCCTGTGCTGTGGACCCTTGAGTGTCTCATCCTCTACAACTGGTCAGTCAGCCTTGAAGAGAAATGTCCTGAAGGCTTGAAAAAACCAAAGAACAGGAGTGAGGAGCACAGCTGTGCCTCACCTGGTTGCCTGGCTCCCATCACCCAGAGGCAGGGCAGAAGACACAGCTCCGTCAGGTGGAGCAGGAGCCAGCTTGCTGTGGGCTTCCACTCAGCTACACGAATCTCTTTGAGCACTGGATATGCATGCCCTAAGGACAAAGTCACTGTTGTTTGCCCCGTCTTGACAATCCCATCCAGCCCACGTGGACTCTGGCCTCAGAACCATGTTTGAGAGAAGCCCTGCTTCCTCATCACAGAGGCCAGCAGGGTCCAGCTATGTGACGTTCTTCACAGATATCTTCACATCAGCCTGTTGGTGAGACTCCCCACTGGAGTACTGGAGAGAGCCAGCGGTGCCTGCAGAGAACTTAGTGCTGCACCAGACTCTCGTGCACCGTCTCCTGCTCCAGGTCAGGTCTACCGTCAGGAGGAGATTGGGTCCAATGCCAGGCCCCGGTGGGCAAGGGTGCAGGCGGCCTTCCCTGCCTCCCTCCCTTGAAGCCTGTACTCAAGTTGCCTTGAATGTGGACTTGGGAGTGCCAGGAGCTCAGAGTGTCAGGTACTTCAGAACAGCCGTCCCTCTGCCAGCCTGTCCCCTATGTCTAGGAGCAGAAGCTGGTTGGTGAGCGCTGCTGCCCTGTTCTTCTAATGCACTGTAGAAATTGTATGTATTGTATTTAAATCAATGCAAATGTATGAATAACAAATCCAGTTCTGACCTCTTTGTCCAATTTTCTTTGGGGGAAAAAAGACAAGGTAAATGCAGTTTTAAGGACCAAGAGACACATTTCCATGAAGTTACAGAGACTTGGGTCTTGAAGACTTGTTTTCTTAAGACACTTCAAAAGCTGACCTGAGTCCGCATTGGTAGAACACGTACTTGCTTTTGGTATGAATACTTACTACAGATTTTTCTCCAATAGGGACTCTATAGTATAGTATTTGCCCTGACTACTTCTTAAAGTCAGAATTCTGGGATTAGGTGTAGAGCAGTGGTTCTCAGTCTGTGAGTTGCAACCCTTTTGGGGGGTGTTGAATGACCGCTTCACAGGGGTCTCCTAAGACCATCGGTAAACAGAGATAGTTACTTTATGATTTATAACAGTAGAAAAACTAGTTAGGAAGGGTCTCAGCATTAGGAAGGTTGAGAACCACTGGTTTAGATGTAAATTTAGGAGAGGGTGGCTTTTATCCTTGGCCATCCGAGGGCAGCCCTGCCATATAGGTACATCACTGTCCTTGGGGGATGGGGATTAGCAAGGAGAGAGGCATGCTAATGAACACACAGTCTGTGCCATCCCACCCTTGACGGTTCCCGTCTGAGAGATGACACTCCCAACAACTACACATACTACCCAGGACCCAGGACCCCCAAGTGCCTGCAGTGTGGAGCCAATGGAGGCTGACCTGGCTTCCCCTTCCCCTGGTCTGCTCCTTTGGATCAGGCCTACCTTCAGAGACCTCATTTTTTCTTGCAGTCTACCCACCTCTGGAAGAGGAAGCTGTAGTACCAGGATCTCCAGGGCTTATGGTTGTAGAAACACAAACATCCAGCCCAGATTTATCTCCTGGAGAATATCCTGTCCTTCCCTATCTGGCTAAGTCTGCTTTGGGATTCTCCCCTTCTGTAACAGACTCAGACAAATCTCGATGCAAATGTTTTTATTTTCCACTTAAACAAGTTTCCCCCTTTGCACTGGCCTGTGGCACAAGACTGAGAGACCGTGGCTGCTGGGTGGTGACAGTGACTGTCAGTGGCAGAAACGGTGAGATGCTGCATTTGAGTGTGTATTACTTTTATTCCAGGGGAACGCCATGCAGCTGGGTTACACTGTTAGGTCAGAAAGGCTGACACATGAGCAACCTCGGTATTGCCTCACTTGGTAAGAATGGGTCCCACAAGTGCAGAGCCCAGCAGATGCTGGTTCTGAGCTGAACTGAGGGCATTCTTATTACCACTTTCTTTACCCAGACAGGGCCTGCTCGGATGTCCTTTTTACAACTCCATAAGCCCTTTGACAAAAGTCCCTGCAATATTTGGGGAGGACGTCCCCACCCTTCATAGGTCAGTGTCTGATCTGGTGGAGGTAGCCTGTGGGGCCTGGCTTATTCCAGTTCCGGTGGGCTCTAGCACTTGTCCTCCGGGAGTTCCCGAACTGCTCACTGGAGGCCGAGTCAGTGGTGCTGGTCTGTGGGTCGGCCGCTGTAGAACCAGGCTCCGGCACTCTGTGGATACAAGCATACAAGCCTGTGATAAACCAGCATCAGCTCGGAGAGCAGGAGGGAGTCTCGTCACCATAAAGTGAGACTGTCTGCCCCAAGAACTGTAGGACACCTTTCCAAAACTAGTTAAGAGGGTGGGGCTGGATGGGGGAATGGGAAACTCAACGAGTCTCTCTCTACCTTTTTTTTCTCCTTAAGAGAAAAAAGTTTCTTTGTATAACCCTGGCTTTCCTGGAACTCATTCTGTATACCAGGTTCACCTTGAACTCACACATGCACCTCTGCCTCAGACTCCTAAGTGTGCTGAGACTAAAGGCATGTGACACCACCGCCTGACTCCTCCCTACTTTCTTTGCCTTGCATTAATGGCACTGTAAATCAGGCATAAGTGACATCAGTTAGCACAAACACTGAAGACTCGCTTGCCATCTCAGACCCGAGGATCTGTTCTCAGTCTCTGCCGTTCAGACTGAGGGGAAGATCCTAGGGGAACCGGGTAGTGGTGGCTTTAGGGCCAGGTCGTTTACCTGGGGCCCCTGAGGCTCACTATTCCTGGGCTGCCTTGACATGGGCAAGTCACTGGCTCCAGGCCACACAGCCAGAGCAGTGGAACAGGCATCCCTTCTACCTCTACCCTCGGCCCTCCAACCCTGGGCACCTACCTGAGCCGGCTGCAGTGGTTCTGTCTCGGCGGCCTTTTCCTGCGCAGCCTCCTCAGTGCCTCAGCTACACGGTGATCCCCTGCACATTCCCAGATGATCTGGGCCCGCTCTTCAGCCAGCTGGTCCCCACTGCGCTGGAACAGGCCCTGGATCTGCACCAACTCAGCATCCTGGAAAATGTTGGCAGAGGCCTGCTTGCGGCCCCGGGTCGGAGGTTTTGAAACCTGCCACAGAGGTGGCTCACTCACCACAGAAGCCGGAGTCCCCATCACAGGTGCTCTGAAATGAAAGGTAGAAACATAAGCACTCCTGTAGCCATTCTTCAGAGGCGCTGCCCACCAGTAGCTGGTCATATACTAGACAAGAGAAAGTTAAAATATACTCACAGAAAGATAACGTACATAATTGCTAAAAATTGGCAGAGTATGGAATAGGGGCTGGGAATATAGCTCATTTATTTCAGAGTGCTTGCATAGCATGTAAGAAGCACTCAGTTTGAGCCCCAGTACTACATCAACTGAGCACGGTAGTACATGTCTATAATCTGGGAGGTGGAGCCAGAAGGACTAAAGTACAAAGTCAGGACTGGAGCAGTGGCCAGCAGAGCACTGGCTGTTGTTGCAGAGGACGGCGTTCGGTTCCTGGCACCCACATGTCTGTTCACAACTGTCTGTAATTCCAATTCCAGGGAACCTGATGCCCTTTCTCTGGCTTCTGCAGGCCCCAGGCATGTACACATACATACAGTCAAACACTCAAACACATGAAATAAAAATAAATCTTAAAAAGCTAGAAAGCCATCCTGAGCTATATATGAGTCTGGGGCCATCCTGGACTACATGATGCCTTCTTTACAATAAAGTGACACAAATACAAGCATTTCCAGTTTGTCCTCAACCGAGGCAGTAGTCCTCAGCCTCACCCGCTGGTCTTTTGTTCTCTAGAAGAGTCTGAGTCATCACCCCAGTCAGAACTATTACCCCCTCCCTTGTCTGGCCTTCTGTCCACCTCATTATTCAGACACATTATTCCAGTAATTGCCACACTCACACTGTCCTAGTTTCTGTCCTAAGAACCCCACTCTCTTCGAGACCTACTACCTAAGATAAACCCACAGAAAGCATCTAGAGAAAATCATAAAACTTGTATTTGTACCTGGAAAATAGGAATAAGAAAACCTGTGTCTCAGGCACTATTACAGAGCCCAGTTAAAGCCCATGTAGAACTAGCCCCCAGGGACTCGTGGATCTACACGCTGGGAACAAAAGATGAGGCACATTTTGAGGCTGATGAGAGAAAAGGCAAGCGTGGGTGTTGACTGCACTGGCTGATGTGCACCATCACGGATGCTCAAAACGATCCTAGAAGCTAATCCTGTTGTCATCATCCCACTGCAAAGGCAGCCAGGCCTGGGCCCAAGCTGGACCTTGTCTTTTTGATTTGTTGTCAATGCACAGTTTAAACCACTGTGCCACATGGTTCCCAAGGCAAACTCAGCCCACTTCCTTACATTTCCATGAGGAGTGAAGGACATCAGTTATCCCACAGGGTGAAGTCTGTGCAGTGGTTAGCTCAGTCACCAGTGTCAAGGCTGCTTGCTGACTAGGTGACATCATCCTCAGCCTTGAACCGTTGGTGGCACTTTCCAGAAGATCTCCAGCTCCAACTAAGAATTCTCGGACTGCAGCGGAGCCCAGTGCACAGGGTATGTCACATGACTCAAGACTCAGAGTTCTAGCATGGGTCCTGCCACTCAGTGGTTGATAGGCCTCAGGAATGCTCATTATCTCTGGGCCAATTCCGTCTGCTGCTCTAGATGAGACACTGATGGTTTCAGAGGACTTGCACTGGTGTTGAGTCGTCAGTGCACAAGGATGGGCCCTATGTTGATGGGTAGCACTGCTTGCCTGCTCCTTGTGGGCTGGGAACTGCATGTGTGGACAGGTCTAACTAATTAGCTTCCAGAAAAACACCTCAACTAGTAGTTAGCCTTCTCCTCCCTCCCCACCCCTAGCCTCCCTGAAGACTATACTGTTTTTGCTACAGTGGGTGGAGAGGTCAGAATCTGGCAGGAGCAGAACACTGCTAAGTGGTCAAACCCAAGGTAGTAGCCTCTTAGGCTGGTCTGGGGTGATGTCCCTTTTTCAGAATCGCCAATCTCGTGTTCTCTGTAGAGCCTGACAGACCAGGGATCAACTAGCAGCTGTTTGGCAGGAGGAAATGGCTGTCCACTTTGTACCAGCAACCTCTATGGGGCTGCAAGGCTTTAACTGGCCAGCACCCAGTGAGCTGAGTACACCCAAGCAAGAAGCACCAAGCAGTCTACTGTCCAGCACTCAACAACCCCCCTATGAACTCTGGGAAGCCTTGGCCCCTCTAATTTTGAGGCCCTTCACTGGTGGGAGCCTCACCCTGGGAGTCAGACAACAGGGTGAAGCTAGGATTCCAGGTAGGGCGAGACAGTAAACATTAGGAAAACTGGTGAAGTGGGGGTTGGAACACTTAGTCAGGAGACACTTCCTGTCTCATTCAATAGGTTCAATCATTAATCTCTTCCTAATTTCCTGGACAAGACCTTACGCCAAGAAGCTCAGTGTATACTTGAACAATGGTACATTTAAAAACTGGAAAGCAAAAGCATGGGGCCGTTAAGATTACAGACAGAGCTTTCGTTCTAGAGCTGACGAAGAAGATAAGCTCGGGTCTGTGCACAGAGAAGTAAGGACTCGTCACAAAACATGACAAATGGACACAAGAGCTTCAGAATGAACCCTCAGAATAAATACTAAATGTTGAGGATGATGAAGTTCAACAGATTCTGAATTGGGCATTAAAGGGAGAACTAACTATAAAGCTCATAACATGGGGCTTCTCTGCCTCGAAGTGAAGAAAAACCTGGGCCCTTATTTCAGACCCGTTTCCAGACATGACCTGAAAAATGAACTAGTAGAGCAAGGAATAGTTCCTTTTGATAGAATTAGAAACCCCTAAGGTAGCAATGACCACTGAGTGACCTTGGACAAACCACTTTTTCTTTGCTTCATTTGTTCATCAATCAAAATAGTGAGGGGGAAAATCCTCACTGGGTGTGAGTGTCCATCCTTGTACCTGGCATACTATGGTATGCCAAGGGAAGGCTATTAACAGGACAATACAGAATCATGGTCATAGTTAACACTGCCATGCAAACTACTCAGGGGGCCTCAAAGACAGGCTCATCTGTGCACTTTTAAAGCCGTTGTTTTATTATTACATAGAAGGAAGCTTGCTGTGTCAAGTAAGAACAGCACTTTCGAGGGCCTTTTGGTCCTCAAGTGAGGTGACATCCCAATCCCCTCTGTTAGCGAGCTATTGTTAAACTCATTTTCCAGCTGAGCTCTTGAAGTGGTAACTTGCTCAACTCCACAAGGCTGGTAGGTGATCTTAAACTATTAACCAGGTGGTCTGACCTGGGCGCCTACCAGTGTTATTTCCATTCTTGCCAGGTGGCTGAGAAGGTGTTCAAAAGAAACAAGGGGGCAGAAAGTTCTGAAACCTCCAAGACCCTGCCATCTTCGTCTGGGGGTTTTGGAGGTCGCCACCGATTCACAGACAGGATTCCCACGCCAGCCTCTTCGCTGGACTTGGAGCAAGCAGAGCTAGAGCAGAGCCCCATGGGAAGTTAGATCGGTGTCCTGTCAACCTATAGCCAGTTCCAGCAGACTCCAAATCGGGATCCGGCAGCTAAGACACCTACTGTAACCTCTCTCGAGTTTTTGGGAAAGGGCGAACGCAGCTCTGGACTTCCTGCCCTGAAGGTGATCACAAGGGCCAAGCGGAGGTGACTAAGAGCTTGGGAGAGGTTATCTTGGCCGAAGTTACAAGGCGACATCCCCCAAACACAGTGGGCCTCAGGGCTCAAAGGTGGCGGCTGACAGAGAGAAGCCCCTAAGTGGATCTAGGATGTGAAACCCAGCGGATTCCTAGCTGCGACCGTCGGCCCGCGCGCTCCCACGCAGAGCTGAGCCCGACCGTGGCCTACCTACCTGGTTGCCTTGGCTGCCCGAAGCGGGCGGAACGCAGCCGGGAGCCTGGCCGGGCCACCTGGATCACAGCCACAGTTCCTTAGAGAAAGTGCTCCGAGCCCCTTCAACAGCCAATCCTCGGTCGCAGCCTTCCAGCGAAGAGCCGAGCCAACTTAGCCAAATCGAACGCGGAGACTCCGCGGGCCAATCAGCTGCTGCAGAGGGGGAGGGGCGTGCCTTATCCCTCCCTCTTCCCGTGTCCGCCTCCAAATCAAGTGCGGAGATTCCTTGAGTCCAATCACCCGCGGAGTATCGTCGAGGGGCGGATCCTCTGGGTCCTCCCCACCCATCCAGCCCACCCGCCCATGCCCGGTGGCGCCCCCTTGATTGACGTCAGTCCCGGGGAAGGCCAAGCTTTGCTCGCTCGCACGCAGGAGGGGCGGGGTCGCATTCCTGACACCGGGTGCGGCTGGAGACGGCGGGCTCTGCAGGGTACACGTGACAAATGCCCCTTTTCGTTTGGGTTGAGTCCAGAGCGTGTGGCATCAAGTTCCGCTGTAAGATCTTGTAACCTACAGTTCCTAAAACTCACCTCATCTCCCAGGCCACCTGGGCCTGCATTAAGAATGATTTTAAATCTTGTAGCAACTGTGCGAGTTTGGGCCTGTTACCTAAAGGAAGAAGTAAATAACAAAGATGTTCTTTGGACATCTTTCATTGCGACCCATTCCAGTTCGGTTTCCTTGACGGGCAGTAAGACCTGCAATCCTTGCCTTGAGGTAATTAACAGCTTAGCGAGATGTTAACGCTGAACCACAACTTGATATGTGACTACAATCATGGTCACATGAAGCTGGAAGATGGTAAAAAGGAGGCATCTTTGAGAGGTCCTGGAAGCCCCGAGAAGGAACATAACCAGTGAAAAGAAGATCCTAACGTTTTTAAAATGAGGGATAATGGACCTGGGAAGAGTAAAGGAATAGAGGGAAAAAAGCATGCTGGAGCCAGGACAGCTTTTCTCTATAGAGATGAAATAAAGCCTGGAGATTCGCTATAAATAGCAAGGTAGCCATGGCGGGAAGGCTCGGGCAGGCAGTGAAGTTTGCATTTGCCCCTCTGAGGGTCTATAAGCAAGGACATAGAGTGATTTGTACTTACGAATAGGCATTGCCTACCATGGTAGTGATGCGGTCAGCACTTTACAAGGGTTAACTCATTTCCCCATGGTGTTAAATTTGCATTTTCAGAAGATCTCACCAGTTCCAAGGAAGCTGGGTTGGAAAGGACAAATGATTGCAGAGGCTCCACGAGGCTGTTTTTTTTTTTTTTTTTTTTTAGTTCTTCATTGCTGGACATCTGGTCTGTGAGCATGCTTAGAAAATGCTCTGCCACTAAGCTACTATGTGCCAGTTCTTGTCTGTCTGTCTGTCTGTCTGTCTGTCCAGCTGTCTATCCTGCTGTCTTTCTGTTTCATTGAGATAGGTTTTACTTTGTAGTTCGAACTGGCCTGGAATTTCCATCCTCCTGGTCAGCCTCTTGAGTGCCTGGTGTATCACCAGGTCCAGCTGTCAGCCTGGAGAGATGCTGGTTTCCTTCACTGAGGACTGGTGTTCCTGTTCAAAAATGTCAGGACGAATGTGTGTCTGAGCAGCAGGTGTAGGCAGCAAGTTTCCCTGACTTTCCTCACATCAAAGCTGACATTCTAAATTTAGTTTCTCTTCTGTAAACGTTGCGGGTAGGGAGGAGATGAAGGAGGAGATGCAGCTGGAGAGATGGCTCAGTGGTTAAGAGCAACCATGTGGCAGCATGCAAACATCTGTAACTCCAGTTTCAGAGGATCTGATGCCCCTCTCTGTCTGTCTCTGAAGGCACCAAGCACACTCCTGGTGCATATGTACTCAAGCAAACATACACATAAAACACATAAAAAGAGACTTCAGAATGCCCCACCAGCTGGGATTTGTGGGATCCTTTTTGCAGGGTGAAGGAGAATTTCCTATTCTTCATCTGGTGTTTAGCTCCTCCTTGTCCATCTGCACAGCACAAAAGGACAAGAGAATATGTCTCCAAGGGTGGCTTGTCTGCTTTTTTTTTTAAGTCCTAGGAAAATAGATAGATAGATAGATAGATAGACGACAGATAGACAGACAAATAGCTAGATAGAAGAGAGATTCAAGAGCAAGATCACAAAAGAGAAATTGTTAATGTTCTTTCCTCTTAAGTGTTACTTGGAAGTTCCAGGCCGAGGATCAAGCATAGACGCTTGAACCAGAAGGCAGGGCTTCTCAGACTCTCAGCATATCCATGGTTAAAGGACCTAGGGGTTGTGATGCCACCCAGTCAGGCGGGTACACCATGCTGGAATCAGAGACTTGTGACTTCCAGGTCAGATGTGACTAAGGCTGGGTGGACACAGTTTTGCACAGCACACAATGGAACTGTTTCTGTCGCCACAGTTTTATGATTCAGTGTTTCTGACGAGAGGCAAGGCACTCCCCTCAGGCATGTAGGCCATGAGAAACCTCGCCAGAAATGAGGATATTTGAGAATCACAGGACAGTGCTGGAAACAGTAACTACTAACAAAAAGGACCCTGATTGTTTGTTTTGAGCCAGTGTCTCTTTCTGTAGCTCAGACAGGCCTCAAATTCCAGATTCTTTTGCTTCAGTCTTCTGGGTTCTGGGATTACAATCTGGATCACCATCCCATAGCTTTATGGGGCTCTGTTTAGAGGAGGTTGGTACTGAGGAATGTTCCCTAATGTCATACAGACAAAGACTTGCTTTCATCCAGGGCCCAGATTAAGGCGATATGAAGGGAACATGTCTTAGCTCAGATTTTACTGCTGTGAACAGACACCATGACCAAGGCAACTCTTGTACGGATAACATTTAAGTGGGGATGTCTTACAGGTTCAGAGGTTCGGTCCATTATCATTAAGGCAGAAACTTGGGAGCATCCAGGCAAGCATAGTGCAGGAGGAGCTGAGAGTTCTGGATCTTCATCTGAAGGCTTCTAGCAGAATACTGCCTTTCAGGCAGCTAGGATGAGGGTCTTATACCCCCAAACCACAGGGTCACACCTACTCCAACAAGGCCACACCTTCTAATAGTGCTACTCCCTGGGCTGAGCATATACAAACCAACACAGGACAGGTGAGATGACTCAGTGGTAAAAGGCACTGCCACCAAGGTCAAGATTGAGAACCAGTTTGACCTGCAGGACCAATATGACAGGAGAGAACTGATTCATGAAAGTCATCCTCTGACCTCCACACGCCTCCTTGCCATTGGCATGGTGATACACACACACACACACACACACATACACACAGAGTACATAAATGATAAAATACAATAAAATTTAAGAGGAGGATAATAAAGAAATCTGGGTTGCAAACTTAACAGACTTAAAAAAAAAAACCCTCAGCAATCAAGATAAATAATACCTCCTTGGGGACAACATCAAAACAGATGCCAAAAACATCCGGGATGAACAAAATATGAAAATTTAAGATACAGACAGGCCTTAGTTTGTTTTCATAGCTCTGATTTGTTTTGTAATAGACACTCATTTCCCAGCAGCCTTCAGTTCCCAGGCAGGCTATTACACAGCCGTGGCTTCAGGAGGACGAGAGGTAGCCTGGAAACACACTGGGCAACTCTGCTTTTTATTAGATTTGGTTGGGGGTTTTATTCACTTTTTCCACTCAGCTCAGACCTGGGAAGATGTTTGCATGAGGGTATGTGGAGCACATGATTGCCCTTCTGATTCCTGCGCCAATATGGTTCAACTCGGGGCTGTTTTTTTCCCAGAGGAAAGTCTAGGAAAGCTTTTTGCTTAGTCTTCCTTAAGCAAGTGATTGAACCTTTCTGTGCCTCAGCTTTCTTGTCTTTAAAATGGGAGTGATTGAGGCTGGAGCTGCAGCTTGGTTGTAAAGTGTGACTTAGCATGAAAGACATCAGGGATTCCATCCTGTGTGCTGCAAAATAACTAATAAGGTGATTAATAAGAAATTTAATATGCATATTACCATGACAATGGAAGGAAGTACTACAGCCTGAGTGCTTCAAATAGCCACAGACTGAAAATGCTGTATTTTTCCAATTGTTTTTCTGTTGTCTGTCTGTCTGTCTACCTGTCTATCTATCATCTATCTATCTATCTATCTATCTATCTATCTATCTATCTATCTATCTATCTATCGTGAATATCTCGTGTAGCCCAGGCTGGTCTCTTATCTTAATATAAAGCCAAGGATGTCCCTGAACTTCTGATTCTCTTTTAGCACTAGTTTCTGTGGTACTGGGGATTGAATCCAGAACTAAATCCCCAAGCCTTAGACTGAAAATGCTTCAAAAGCAAATGAGGTACCAATAAGTGGGAGAGCACTTACCAACACATGCAAGATCTTATGTTTAAGTCCTGGGATTCCAATTCAATAAAATAAAAATAATTTTATTTTGAGATAGAAAAAGTACAAAAACAAGAATGTTGTAAAAACATGTAAAGACATTTGTGTGTGTGTGCGTGTGTGTGTGTGCATGTGTGTGTGTGTGCGCGTGTGTGTGTATGTGTGTGCATGTGTGTGTGTGCGCGTGTGTGTGTGTATGTGTGTGCATGTGTGTGTGTGCATGTGTGTGTGTGCATGTGTGTGTGTATGTGTGTGTGTGCATGTGTGTGTGTGTGCATGTGTGTGTGTATGTGTGTGTGTGTATGTGTGTGTGTGCATGTGTGTGTGTGCATGTGTGTGTGTGCATGTGTGTGTGCGTGTGTGTGTGTGCGTGTGTGTGTGTGTGTTATGCTGGGATCAAATCTAGGACCTCCTGATGCTATTCATGTACTCTACTATGGAGCCACACTCCAGCACAAATACTTATATTTTATATAAGAGACTTGAACATCTACAGATTATTGTATTTATAGGCACTGTTCCCAGTCCCATCCCCCACAGGTCCCAGGAGATCCCTGGATCTCCCTACAAATGCTAGACTAGCTAGCGTCAGAGGCCCCTCCCTGACGCTCCTTGTCTGGCTACCATTGGGGTGATTGGGCAGCTCTTGTTCCCAAATGCTGGGACTTTTCTTCTGAGAGAGCCAAGAGAATACTCACCTTCGGCTGACGACAGTGTAACTTGAAACCCAACTCTGTGTGGGTACGGATGCGTGTGGAGGCCAGAGGACAATTGCAGACTTGGTTCTCGCCTTCCATTGTGTGGATCATGGGTATTG